TCTTCATAAGACAAGAAAAGGTAAAAAAGACTTCCCCTAAGAGGGATAAAATATGCTCAATTGATTTGGACTGCTCAAGAGAGCGACCTTTCCTCACAGACGAAGGCCATCTTAAGACCATTATTTAAGTGTACTTCCGTGGATTTGCCATCCACAAAAGAGCCCCGTAATTTCCTGGATGCTCCGTCGGTATTATCTCTGACGGTCGAATTACGTCCGATATAGAAACCGTAGCATATGACAATCCATCGGGGTCCCGACTCCCATAGATTTCTGTCCAGTCTGCGTTTAAGGATTTCATAAAAACAATTTTAAAATGTCCATTAAGCTAATTAGCTTGACTGTGAAGGGCCTGAGAGATCGGGGTAAGGCTGCCCGCCTGCTTCGTAATCTCTTGTCCTTCGGCGTATATGTGACCGCGATCCAGGAGACACAATTTGTTTGCGATGTCGATGATCGTGTGCTGTCTAGCGACTTTGTTGTTTCCGTATACAGGGACTGGTGGACCACAGGTGTTTCCTTGTTAGTTAAGTGTTCCCTGGATACGAGAGTAGACCTTGTCCATGTGGCGTTGATCGTGGCCGATATTGCAGTGAGCATTGGTTCGTTTTGGATCGTTGCGGTTTATGTCCCCCCAATGATCAGAGGGAGCGTGTCGACTTTTTCCGTCGGTTAGGACCATTTCTGGAGGATTCGTCGCGCTTATTCTTAATGGGGGACTGAATGCCGTCCTCGACTCCAAGATAGACAGTGGGTGGGGAGCTAGCGGGAAATTATCGGGCGATCGTAGTTTGGTTGATCTGATCGGCGAGCTTGGGCTCGTCGATAGATACCGGGTCAATCATCTGGGGCGGAAGATGCTCTTAATTGGCCGTCTCTCCAGGTAACAAGCTACATGGACAGAATGTTAGTGAGAAGGGTCGACCTAGGTTTACTAGATTGTCCCACGTTTCACCGTTTAGACTATTCGGATCATAGATTCGTCTGTGCCCGGATGGTGTTAGGTAATAGACCTAGAATGGCTGCACACTGGAAGTTCAATCTGTCCTGACTGGACAGGCGAGACTTTCAGCAACAGCTGGCTAGATTAGTGCAGCGGAAATTAATGACGGTTGTTATTGGGAGTAGGTTGTGGGAGAGGCTTAAGGATAGCATTAGGTCCTTCACCATTGAATATAGCCAAAAAAGTAAAGACTCTAGAGGATAGTCTATCCCGGTGTCCTAGAGATAGTCGTAGCTAGGCAGGCCCTGCAGCGCGTGGCTAGCAAGCGCTACCAGGGTTAGGTAGTTAGACATAGGTTAAACAAGATGTCTAACGAAGCTGTGAACATGCGCAAGAAAGAGGTCCGTTTGTTTCGCAGCTACTTGGCTGACTTTCCTCGGCTTTCGCTGACTGAAGCGGCTAGCTGCGAGGGTGAGATCACAAAGAGCGAAGTTCACTTGGCATTGAAGAAGGTCGGCAGTGGCAAGTCTTCGGGACTTGATGGTCTGCCTTATGAAATGTACTTGAAACTGTCGCACATCTTTGTTCCGATTTTGACAGTGATGTTCAACAGCTGGTTCCGGCAGGGGTCCATCTCCGACTGGATTTCTAGGCGTGATAACGCTGCTGAAAAAGAGCAAGTATGTAGGGCGGGATTTAGATTTTACAGGCTCTTAACTCTGCTAAACACAGATTTAAAGATTTTGGTAAAGATGCTGACGAAGAGGTTGCAATCAGTTGTCGCGATCTTGTTGGGACCTGAGCAAACGTGCTGTGAGGGGAAGAACAATTCAAAGCAACCTGCATCTGATCTTCACGATCATAGAGCGTGTAAAAGACGACAAGCAAACTGTGCTGATCAATTTAGATCAGTCCAAGGCATTCGACAGCGTTGACCATCAATAACTGGCTGCGGTCCTGCAGGCCGCCGGATTCGAACCCAACTATTGCAGGTGGATTATCCTCCTGTATCGCTTCCCCAGTGCTGTGATACAGGTGAACGGAAGGCGGTTGGGGGCTTTTGCGCTGTCTCGGTCGGTCCGACAGAGATGTTCGCTATCGCCCTTACTTTACGCTTTGACATTGGAGCCTCCCCTTCGCCGGCTGAGGGACAGGGCGTGCAGTTCGGCCTTACGCGGAATTGTCCCCTTCCCCTGGTGAAGTTCGAGCCAGGGTTTCTGCGTACGCCGATGTCGTATCAATTTTCGTGTCATGCCGCAGCGACATTAAGGTGGTAGAGAAGGCGCTTGAACGGTACGAGAAGGTGATAGAAGCCAAGATCAACCGTAACAAGTCTTCCGGCTAGGTGCCTGGAAGGGAGTCACGCTCCCGGAGCCATTTGGTTGGACTGATGAACCCAACCGCATTCTTGGAGTGTGGTTCGAGCCGGGACTTCAGCTAAAGAAGAATTGGTCAGAGGTACAGGCAAAGGTCGGAGCGTCGGTCCGGACTTGGCTCCGAAGGGGATTATCCTTGAAGGGTAGAGCTGAGACGTGGGCCACTTACATCTTCCCTCTCATCCTTCACTGCTTGGCAGTACTTCCTCTTTTCACGTCCTGTATGGAGGCGATCGAGCGTTTATTTATCTCCCTCTTGTTGGATGGTCGCAAACATTGGGTCTGTGAAGAAGCCTGTTTCCAGCGTCCGTGTAATGGTGGGGGCTGGGATTGACACACCTGGCGAGTCATCCCCATGCCTCAAGGTTGGCTTTCCTACGCAGCGTTTTGACGGAGGACGATTTTGGCGCGGAGTGTTAGGGACGCCTTTCCTAGTCTTACCATCACTCCTACCATTTATTGCGTTAAGTGCCGTAGTGGTCGTGGAAGGTTCTCGAGTTTCCTCAGCGAGTGTCGGCCAGCCTTGAAAGTCTTTCTTTCCTCGATCCTCGGAGATTATTATATTGTGAATTAGTGGATCTTCTGTATGGCCGGCTCAGCTTGTCGGCATCAGAGTTGCGCTTTTCTGGTCCTGGGCGCCAGCGGCGGATTATCTCAGCATTTAGCTTAGCTGGTGATTGATTCGGAACGTGATACCTCTCAATGACGTAGCCTTCAGATGAGGCGAGGTAGATTTGGCAAACTGTCATCGGTGTGACCTTGGCTTAGAGGAAACGGCTTTGCACGCTTTCTTCCATTATCCTCAGGTGTGCCTTTTCTGGGATTATGCCGGCGAGTTGACGGCTCGTATCGCTCCCGATCGGCTCGTGCCCATTGATCTCGCGTCGCGTGTGACAATGTGTTTCCGGTTTCCCTCATTATCCGGAGTAAAACGTATGGTGTTTTTTACATTGCTAGCCATGGTAAGAATAGTGGTTTGGAAGACGCGACTGGAGGGAATCTTCCGAGATGAACGTTATTCGCATCACGATCTGGTTGTTTCTTTAAGCATCAGCTTAGGGTAAAAATTAGATCTGATCAAAAGCGTTTGATTTCGACAGATTTCAACGAAAGGTGGGTGACTGAGGCGAGCCTGGTTTGTGTAGAAGGGGCTAGTCTTGATTTTCTCTTTTAAGTCCCCTTAGTGAACATTCCCTTTGTTAAGTTAGACACTATTATGTTTTCCTAGTTAATGTAAATGAATGTTGTTCCCGGCATTCTCTTTTGTTATGATCCATGTTGAGATTCCCAACCTCCCCAGTTTGTTTTTGTCTTCTGTTTTCCATCTCGGCTGGGTCAGCCTTTGATTTTCCCCATCCCGTCATTTATTTTCATCCTCGCTATTCCATTAGATTCTGTTTCTTGGCAGAATACAGCAGCCTGAGGGGTTGACAGGTCCTACTAACATTTGTTTCGATTTTATCATTGTGTTACATTTTAGTTCATTATATGGGCCCCCTTCCCTTCCCCATCATTTCATGGATCATGAAATTTTCATATACTTTTTTTGTAAAATAAAAAAAAGGACATTTTGGACTCTTATCAGATTTTTATGTCACGAGGTGTTTTGTAGGTCCCCTGTGAATATGCGGTATTGAATGGAGGATTGAGAGGTAATGGATAGATTCTTATGGTGAATGAAAATTGTATTGAATGAATGCGTCGTGAATCTGATTAATTAGGATATAGCTAATGAAAACCAGTCCACTCCCTATTTCCCCCGGCCTTGTGCCGCAGTTTCTGTAATCAGAAATAAATATTAATCATGCTATGCTATGGTGTTCTTTCTTTTATTTTTAGTTCCCATAGGTTATTTTGACAACATTGGTGTTTTATTATCTTTCATATTTGAATGATGACAAGCAAATGGTTCCCAACGAGTTTGATAGAAACGAATATCATTATTTAATGCTCTAATTATTACTTCTAATGTCGGTATTTTTTAAAAAGCTGGGAACTGATTGGTTTAGTAAATTTAACAACTTAGAAACATAAACAGTAAAAAAAAAGTGTTTTTTATTTTTATTTTTAAACATAACACTAAAAACATTGCTTTTTAACCGGAAATTGATTCAGATTATCATAATCTCGAATCGATGACTTTCATAAACAGATACAAATCCATTTGGAAGACAAAAAAACAAAAACAAAAAAAAACAATCAATATTTTTAAATAAAAACAACTAAAAAAATGGTCTGTAGTGTTTTGTAAATAGTTTTTAAATAAAAACAACTAAAATGGTCTGTAGTGTTTTGTAAATAGTTTTTAAATAAAACAATTCTTTTTAGTTCATGGGCACGCGTAATTGCATCGACGTAAACTTTTTAGTCCGATGAAGTCCGAAAGGAAAAAAAAAAAACACGAAAAAAACACATCATACAAAAACTTTTTCCACTTTCTCAGACATCTTTCTCCTAAAAATTATTCTTAATATTTATGTATATACACATACAGAGAGAGAGAGAGAGAGAGAGAGAGAGAGAGAGATTTAAAAATCTAAATTTGACAAGAAAATAGAGTTACGTCCCTTGCATATTAAAAAAGAAGGTGAAATCTCAAGTCTGCACATGGTGACTGAAAGTTCATTTGTGACTTCGAAAACGATCCTTGAAACAAAATACCTGGAATTGCAATAAAAGGGATGTCTATTAATATGAACTTACTTGGAATTCAACTTAGAACCCGTCAAAGGTAAATCTTTATTAATACTTATTTAAAATTTTTCTTTCCAAGTATAATCCAAGCCGAAAATTGTCCTTGTATCAAACGAAATGTATGATTTCTAATAATAACATCAAACAATTACAAAAACAAAATGTATGATTTCTAAATAACATTTGAATATTTTTGTTCATATGTTGATTTTGTTTTAAGCAAATTTTATACAGAAATGGAGTTTCTGGTTTATTTATTTATAATTACAATCACTGACGAATAATCTTTTTTATTCAAAAATAAAAAAATATATAAAAAAAACAAGAACCTAATTACGAAAGTTTCTAAAAATAAACAAATCGTTAAAATTCTCAAATAACAGTTTTTTGTGCTATTTTATTTTTTTATTATTTTTTTAATTTTACGTTTAATTTGCGGGTATTGTTCAGTTTTAAATAAATAAATTCCTTACCAAACATGATTGATTTGTTTTGTTTACGTTTGGTCTAACTAACATAATATTTTTAAAATGGCCTTGTGAACCTTCTTGGTATTTGAAAAGTCGTGCATTGGAAATAAAAAAAATAAAAAAATAATGCACGAAATGCCATTTTTCTCTAAGTAAAGACTGAAATATAATTCAACATTAACTTATGTGACCAATAAATCTCAGAATTTGTAAATAAAAACTTATATACTTCAAGCGCAATACCAAATTGGCGACATGATCTCATCATTTTTTCTGTTGAAATGACGAGATGCACTAAAAATATGTAACAACCGTAAGTTCTATGCTAATAGTTTCTTCTCTCACACTTCTCTCTTGTAGAATTCTCTTCCGGCTTAGCGTTTTGCTATTCTGTTGATATTCCATCCGAGCGAATGAACTCTATGTAACCTTGAACAATTCGAGTTTATTAATTCTCTGTATCGTTTTGGAAGATATTTGATTATGGTTAAAAAAAAATACTATAGTATATTTCTATCTTTTTCCACGATTCGTAGTATAATTCATAAACCTAAGAGTAGCTTAATATTTTTTTTCTTAATTATAACTGGAAGTAGTATTATAAACTCTGCGAATGTTGTAATAATACCCTTTATGAGGAGCAGCATCAAAATCCGTCATGGAGTAGAGAGTATGTATGGGTTTACCTACAGGGATTTTTTTTTTTTTTTTTTACGATAAACGCCCCACAATGTGCCACATCCTGCCTTCTGGGGAGGATTGCGTAAATGCATGCTGCAGTATCTGTTCTGTGCCAGGCTCCTCGCCCAGTACTCCCCCACCCCCCGCTGCCTAGACAGAATCCTCAGATCCGTTCCATAGTGGGGTAACTATCTATGATTAGCAAAGACCTTCTGGCTTGCATGGGGGCACTCAGTTTCTCCACATTAAAATAAACTAACCTTGTGTTGCATCTTGACTCAGTTGGGGTGGGGGTTAAAGGTAAATATAAGAAGGTACCCTTGTTGCAAGTACCTGGGTGTCTATATCAGATGATATTCGCAAACATTTAAAAAAAAAAAAAAACACGTCATGGCAAGGATAACGAGAACAAGGAATTCAGATAAAAAATATGCCAAAATTTATTATTGGCAAATAAAATAATAATACAATTAAAAAAAAATGAAGATGTTAAAAAGTCCTGGGGGAAAGCAGTAGCTGGCAATCCAGAAATGAGAAATGAGAATAGTTCTTTTTTTTGGTAGCACTAAAAATAAATTTAGGAAAACAGTTCCTGTAGCACTAATGATGAGACCGTAGTGTTTGGTATATTAGACTGAGTCAGCTGGAGTGCACAGAGACTTAACCGAAACAGTTGATATACACAGAAGATATACCAGAACAGTTGATGTTGCACAGGAGATAACCTGGAACAGTTGATCACTGAAGGAATATATATTTTTTTCTTCTTGGCTAACCAGCTAATTTCTGTGAAGGCAAGATTTCAATGGTCCAAAAACAATTTCACATAGGCTCACAAATGCCTTTCCTTATTCTTCAGTCCTCCAAATTTGAAGGGAGTGTGTGAAAGGAGTTATTTCACACTTACTACACCGCCACTAACTTGTGATGAAATGAAAAAGATTGGGCTTATTACTTTTGGATTTGAAGATTTTGTGTATTAGAAATTTTTTTTTTTTTTTTTAATCAACTCACTCCAAGCAAGGTGATAAGGCCACTAAGATGCAATTGGCTACTGGGAGTGAAATAGAATGAAAAGACTTTAGAAGGAACCAGAAACCCAATCCCAAACAGGAAACAAGGAATAAACCACTACTCCTGTTCAAATGATTGGAGTGGAGCATGACCCAGATGATAAGGGGCAGAAAAACTGAACAGATATATGTCAACATATATATGAAATCAGAGTTGAAAATATCCTTATTTTCACTTTTGGAAACATTTTTCTTCCACATTGCTTATGCAAATTATTTTTGGCTCATACCACTTTTCATTTTGCAGCGTTTCCACAAAGATTCAATACTTTGTGTGTCTAAATATCATATTTTGGATTCATGATTCTCCAAAACCAAAGTAGCACTCAAAAAGTGTAACACAACCATTACACTTTGCCAATTCCTCATAAATAATAGACCATTCCATTTTGATTGCAGGGAAAGAGGGGGGAAAAACACTACTTGGTTTCAGTGAGAAAATGAAAGAAAGAAGGGAAGATAGAAGAATTTAATGGCTGTTTCAGTGAAATGGAAAATTTAATTTCAAATGTTTTCATTTGTAGCCACTTCTTAACATAACAACCAGCACTCATACTGATTATTGTTATTGCAATATTTTGTTAAAGTCGTTAGGCTCAAATATTTAACAAGACAAAAAAGGCATTTTTACAGATATTTTATTGTCGTAGAACTTACCATAAGCTTACTTGAGTATTAACTTAAGAATTAAGATTCATCAGAATATTAAAATGGGAAAACCATGACATTTTCACGGTTTAAAACTGGTATATATTATGTCATGAATAATGATAAAAAAAAAAGAAGCTATATAATGATTTACAGGAGCTAAAAGACCAAAAAAGCAACGGGTGTAACTCTAGAAGCACTTAATACTGTTCAGAATATGAGCTTAGTTAAAGAAGTGTTAAGGAGGTAATTCAATGTTTGCTAAGCAAAAAATGCTTAAAGCAGGTAAAATCAGCAATAAACAAATTTTTTACACACTGACTTGTTTTTTTTTTTTTTTTTTACTTTTTAGATGCCGGCAAATATTTTGTACAATCCGAGCTTCCTCCACCACACCGGAAATCGATTCTTTGAAAGAGTCTGATATATGCTACCCGACAAAAAGGTATTTCCATTTTTTTTCTAAATGAACTTTATGCAATAACAGTTTATTTTTGTATTATTAACAGCTTACAGCAATATCACACCTATTCCCGTACAATCACTGAAATTAGTAATGTCAAGCATGGTTAGTACATAGATGGATGACCACTTGGGAATACTAGGTACTATAAGCTTGGATGTGCAGGCGGTGTAATGGATAATGGCTCAGAATATTAATCAGAGAGTCCACTTTCAATTCTCATTGGGTTTCTTACATTTACTTGCATGCAAATACCTTTGGGAATGGTATGAACCCACCTCTTCTCCCTCCAGCTACAGTTTATTTAGTAAGACTTGTATCACTAAACCATTATTATCACAAAAAAAATCTAAAAACATTTTCTGGCTTTAAATAACCTGCCAACCATAAAACATGAATCACTCATTCTTCAATGTAAGATAATACAACCACCTGGTCTAACCTTCACGGCTAGGACCTGCCATGCCGCTTACTTTAAAAAAAAAAAAAGGGAAAAATCACTGTAGTTACTATAATCACTTGGGAAAGAAAATTTCAAATATTCAACTATAAGTCTCATTATTATGACTTTTTTATTTTTTTATATTTTAACCAATTTTTAATTGTTGTTTAATGGGTGTGCAGGTGGTGTAATGGATAGCAGCTTGAAATGAGAAATTGTAAAGCTGAGTTCAAATTCCAGTCAAGTTGATTACATTTCCTTAAGTGCAAATACCATTTCGGAAGGTATGAATCCATTTCTCTCACCCCCAACTATGGGTTAAATAGTAGCATAGACTGGGATCTTTAGCCTTGGTTGGCAACCAGTCTAGGAGGAGGACAACTGCGAATTAGAAAAAAAATTAAAAATATGTATGTAAAAGGACAAAAGGAAAATGTATCTATGAATGTAAAACTTAGCTGGAAAATTATTGATTGTGCTACTATTACCAAAATATAGATCTGAACCCTGGATTATTCCAAATATCTCCATTCCTAAGTCAACATACATGGCTATAAAAAATCTTAAGAATTAAAAAAAGGTTAAATTCAAAACTTTTATTATTTAAAATATATAATATATAAATTGATCTCAAACTAAAATAACATAAATAATAATAATATTCTAAGCAAAATAGAAATTCAACATTTACTCACTTTTAATTATTAGACATTAAATTATATCATTTAGCATCTTCCATAATTTACCTTGACTTTCATTTAGCCTGATATATATTTATGAGCATTCTTAAATTGAAATATTCTTGTTGCAAAACAAAATCCTTACATTTGCCTTGATAAAGTCCATCAGAGGATGAAATGCATCAGCTAAAATAAGTTTTCTTTTTGTCTTTATTCACACACGCACATATATATATATATATATAAGTGAACATTGAAGTTAACACTTAGAATGGCCTGATGATTGCATCTAGCATGAAACAGTCTGCCGCCTCTAAGTGTTGACTTCAGTGTTCACTTTTATATTTACACAGGCTCCATCTCTGATATTGATCACTTTATCCCATAAATATAGCACACCTTAAGACTACATTTCTTTATATATATATATATATATATATATATATAGATTGAGTATGGATAGGAATCCAACATAGGATGATAGGATAAAGAACAAGTAGGAAACAGATCTCAATCTAACATGTTTCACTTTATTAAAGCTTCATCAAAGCTCAAGATAGAAATAATAAAAAACAAAGAGATGCAGATTAATGTTATGCTGTGTTTGGTTATATCTTATTAGTTAGACATGTGTCACATGTAATGAAATAACAGATAACATTTAAATATGTGTGGCAAACATTCTTGACGCTAAAGTGTGTAAAAGCTAGTAAGATGCAGTTGGATGCTTTGATTGAATAAGTGCCACATGTAATGAAGTAACAAATAATATTCAAATAAGTGAAAGAAAACATTCTGGAAGCCAAAGTGTTTAACAATGAGATGGTGCAGGATGTTTTGAAAATTTTATCATTAAAGTATATCTCATGTATTTTAAATTACAATAAACGTGCAATCAATTTACAAATACATGAATTATTCACACAAAACTAATGCAAAGGTTAATGATTTAAATGGCGAGACATCCATCTCGCAAACAATTCAAATAGTACACAAAAACCTCCAGATCCGTTATGAATGAATTGATCCTTGTTTATATAAATTTCTGCCGTATTAGTTGTTATTTTTACTACAAGCTTTCGTCTGTTCTTACTAATATGGTAATGAACAAATTATTTTACTGGTAAATTTTACTGTCAAAGTGGCATGAACTATATTTGGTATAAACGCAAACACTTTAAAAAAAGAAATTTAAAATCAAACTTAGCGTTGCTTTGGCGCGTTCAAAAACCAATATCTCATTTTCAATAGCATTTCGGATACAATACACATATATTTTCGATGTCCTCTTATTACTAAGAGAAAAAAACAAGAACAACATCTATTATATACCTGAAGATGTCTGTAGGAACAGACGAAAGCTTGTAGTAAAAATAACAACTAATACGGCAGAAATTTATATAAACAAGGATCAATTCATTCATAACGGATCTGGAGGTTTTTGTGTACTATTTGAATTGTTTGCGAGATGGATGTCTCGCCATTTAAATCATTAACCTTTGCATTAGTTTTGTGTGAATAATTCATGTACTCATGTATTTTGTATATATATGATTTTTATATATTCGGACATGATAAGTTAGATTCATGAATAATGGATCTGTAGAAAAATGGTAATGTAATGTAGTTTTTTAAACGTGTGTTAATAATCGGTAATATTGCTATAAATATATTTTTATAATATTATTATATATATATATATATATATATATATATATATATATATAGTGTGCATATATGAGAACACAGATACTCTAACTCTGATCCTAGAGAGAAGTACCAATTTATATATAAATAATCCTTTGAGTTTTTTTGTGTTTTTTTTTGTGAGTACAATTTTCATAATAATTAAAAGGATTTTATAGCTTATTTTTTTAATGCTATGTTTATTCATGATGTAGTTGATCATAGCTCTCCACCGATTCCTTCTTTGTATTATCTGAATTGCCATTCATCTTGGGAAAGATAATAGAGTGATTTTCTGTTGCCTTCTCTCTGGTTTGGAATTTGGAATAGTCTTCCTGCTCAATTGGCTACCACCCAAGGTATTTTTAATGGCATGACCCTGAATGAAGTGATTATATAAAAAAAAAATGGATTTACTGTTATCAGTATAAACATATCAGTATAAACATATAAAGTGACCTTTCCCCAGTTTTCTATCGACTAGACATTGATCATACCATGTTGCATTCCAATCCTTGATGAGTGTTCACCAAAAGTTGGGCTGTTCTGGGTATGATGATAAACTACATCCAACAGCAAGGCCTCTGATCAGGAGGTTTTGAGGAGCGTGGAACCACCTCTTAATTGCTGGTGTTCCCAGGTCCACCCTGACCCGGGGTGGTAACACTTGTTAGGGTCCCAGCTATGGGCAAATAGTTAACCCCCAAACTGGGGTCAAAATACTATGCAAGTATTAAAATAGGTTTTCATACAAGAAATACTTTGTAAAAAAAATCATTACCAGGAATACTTTTTTGAAAAAAAATATTACCAGTGTAGGAAAATTATTACCAGGAATAGATTTTTGAAGGAAAAAATATTACTGGAAATAGATTTTTGAAGGAAAAAAACTATTACCAGAAATAGATTTTTGAAGGAAAAAAAAACATTACCAGAAATAGATTTTTGGAGAAAAAAAATATTACCAGCAATGAAAATTTTGTCGGCATTAAATAACCCATTGAGGTTGATATACCGTAAAACAAAACAAACCAAACCAAACCAAAAGCTGGGGGAGTGCATAATGCAGACTCACAAGGAAGTATTTTGAAGGAGTTTATGGTGTCACTGCACTAGGTAAGCTATTGTCTTGTTCATATTCATTTTGCATTGAAAAAAAGGCATGAAACCATCTTTTCCGTATCCACTTAGTAAATAGCAAGGTAAAATGGGCCCTATAATTGTCAACCAGTCTAGGAGTTCTCAAAATTCAAAACTGTAAGGAATGCAACAGGAAACCACTCCAAGAATAATCATGGCAAGGCACAATTTTCAGATATTAAAGAACACAGTGCAGTGGAGAACCATGAACACCTATGTCTTGTTTGGACATAGCAGTTGAAAACAGAGACAGAGTAGATGTTTATTCATGTTAATCATTAATTTGTATATTCTTACCTTTTCTAAGAATTTCCAGAGAAAACATCATTGGCAGCCAGAATTGTAAAAACATTTTGATGGTTTTCTTATTTCCATCACACCATCTTACTCATACATTGAACCATTTAGAAACATATTTTATAATGGACTGCTGAAAAGTTTTCAGCTAGTGCCACTTTCCAAATTTCTCACCACATAACATATTTTTTCCAGAAATTCTTAGTTGGTTGGGTTTTCAACTTTTCAACACTTCCTTTTAAAATTACATATAGTGTTATATAAAAAATCGATTGTGAAATTTTAATACTTATATTTGTTTCTAACTAGGACCACATTTAATGAAGTTTATTTTTCATCCTGTATTTCATAGGAAAAAGTATAGACATCTATTAACATCATCTTACAATAAATCGAAGAATCGAATTAAAAATTCGACTCTTGAAAAGCAGTATAAACAGTAAGTAATTCTTTTATTTTATTTTACTTGAAATATCTAATTCTTCCTTTTTTAGTAGGTATATTTTAATTTTTTTTTAACTCTTAAACGATGGGCATCATCAACTGATGTTTTATTAAAGATCAGTAGATATCGTTGTGATTGTCGTGAGCAAGATACATGACATCATGCCCGAAAACGCCTACACATTGCATGCGTATGGTGTCGCAGAGCAGTTGGAGGAAGGGAGAATTGGTAGATTGTGCCTACGCATATGTAAATCTCTCCTATTCAACCAATCGGCTGCTTCATCATGGTCTATAAAATGAGTGTGTCTGGCTTTGGCAGTCAGGGGCCGAGGGAGCCAACGAGGACAATGAGAAACAACTGCCCTGTTCAAGAGACGACTACCCTGTTCCAGCGGGTCCTTTTTGGCATGACAGCTACAATCATTAATTGACAAGTTGATATTTTTCCAATGTTACCAGCACCATTCATTCATGATTCAAGTCTAAATGTCCAATTGGCAACTAGGATTCATGAAGTTACATCATTTCTTGGAGAATTTGCCCGTAAATAAAGCTAGAAAAACAAGTCAAAGACAGTGTGATGTTTGCATGCATATTTCTCAAAGAGAAAAGAGGAGAACAATGGTAAAAACTTGGTGCAAAGAATACACAATTCCATTGTGCATGGAATGCTTTAAGGAGTATCATACATATAAAAAAAAAATGTTCATTTTTAGGAACCTCAAATTTGTTTTATTTCTACTTTTTCTTTATTTTTTTAATCTAAAAGTATTAAAATATCATTTTTTATAGAATTTCTACATATTTAAAATGAAAATAAACATTTATTAGTTTTTCATGCAGAAAATATCGACCCTTTCCACTTTGTAAGTTCAACATGGCAATTCAGTTGGTTTAGTTAAGTCTGAACAAGGCTTCTGGCAGAAGTTTTCTTCAGGTAAGAATTAACGTGAGATCAGGTGAAACAGTCTTCTCTCATCCGGCATCTGGGACAACTCTCTCTCAGCTGCTTCTATCTCCTGCTTATATGGGCCTTCGCCCAAAACTGGCATGGGATCTGACATGGCTTGGGGTTCTGGCGATTCCTTTAATTGTCAACAAGAGCTCATTGTTGTCTGGCTCACAGAGATTAATTAGATTCCCATCTTTAAGGAGATTCCCTCTTCCATGAGTAGTAGTTGCAGGACACTGATCCACCTTAACTCCTTACTTCTCATACCAATACTGCCCAAGGGGTGGAGACAATTGGTGTCCTACCTGGGCCTTTCACTTTGTCACTCTGACTAATCCAATCTCAAGATTGTATGAGCAAGCAGGCATGGCTTAACTTCAATTATTAATTTTAATTATCACTCAAAATTTTTGATATTACCTCGACCCAAACACCATTCTTTCAGTCAGACATTAACCAGGTGTCCCGATGTTAGTTTCAACTTGTGATACTTGTTGACAAGTGACAAAAAAATAATATTACAATTCTCCAACTTTGCTTTGTTTTGCAAATTTTTATCTCACAACAGACTTTTTCTTACTCTAGTAGATAATTCCGTAATCTGGATTGCAAAAACAATGATCTCTCCATTTCAAACTTACACCATAATGGGGTCAAATTATCCAGATAGCTTTCCTTTCAACTAAAACCCCCAAAACAACAAGAAAACCACTCCACTCCCAACCAGTCTCCATTCTGGACTTATGGAGGCCTTCATATCTTTACTCTTTGTTTGATGTTCTGACAACTTCAGCCAATTGGCTTTTGTAAACAAAAAAACAACCCTCTGAATTTATTATCTCTCGGTATGTTTATCAATCCATCCTTTAACCCCTTAAGATGTCACAGTATCCACTTCTTAAAATAATGCCCAGCATTCATATTTATAGTTGTTATTGCAATATTTTCTTAAAGTTGTTAAGATCAAAAATTTGATGATGCAATGGGGTAATTTCTACAGATATTTTATTATCTGTCTATATTTCTGAGATGAGGTATTATGTACATTATTTACATTATTTGGACTATTGTCCTCATCTTTGCCGCCATATTAATTACAACGTTTCGGCAGTTGTACGCTCCGGCCTTCTTCAGGTGGTTGGAATGTCGAACTGAACCCTTTATTTCGCTCACTGGGGTAGACCGTTCTAGTTCCACGTGCCATGTTTAATGGATTTCAGTTATCAGTTATTTCCTGCTTAATTCCTTCTCCAAGTTCCCCACTGCCTTAACTAGGTATTGAACTCACACTCTTTGGGTCCTGTCACTGGATCTAACTAACACCTTTATCCACTGTGCCATGTGTCCTCAAGGACACATGACACAGTGGATAAAGGATATCAGTTCAATACCTGGCTAAGGCAGTGGAGAACTTTCAGAGGGAAATTAACAGGAGATAACTGATAACTGACATCCATTAAACATGGCATGTAGAACTAGGACAGTCTACCCCAGTGAGCAAAATAAAGGGTTCAGTTTGACATTCCAACCACCTGAAGAAGGCTGGAGTGTATAACAGCCGAAACATTGTAATAAATATGGCAAAAAAAATGAGGGCAATAGTCCAAATAATGTACATATTTTATTGTAGAACTCTCCATGAGCTTACTCAATCATTAACTTGAGAATCAATGCTACCAGTCCAGAGATTAAACTCATAATTACTGTCACCAAATTTATAAACCAACACTTTAATCAACTCCATTAGTAATTGTGAGTTCAATCCCCAGTAATAATAATGATTTAAACCCAGTGTTTGAGTAATAACTGAACAGTGCTAAAAAGGACAAAATGAGATGTACCTCGACTTGGACAGTGGAGCAAGAACAATCTACCCTTGTAGATTAGATAAAGATTTAAGTTTGAAATTCACTGATGGTTACTTGTATTGACTGGTACCCGAAGAAAGCCAGAGAGCATAATAGCCAAAACGTTTTGATAATAACAACAAAGATGTGGACCTTCGTCCAAATGTAAATATTTAAAGATTCTGTGATAAAAATAGAGCTATTAAAAAATTGACCTGAATGTGTATGCATTTCTTTTGATAAACTTGCTAAGATAGGCTATTTTAATGGGTTTTTAATTTATATTTTAAAGTGTTCTTAAATGTATTTAAAGTATCAGAAATGACTAAAAATGAAAGCTTCATATTTGTTTTAGTAAAAAAGATAAACAAAAGTTACAGTGTAACCCGGATATAAGAGAAACCTGGATATAAGAGAGATTTTCTCTGGTCCCAAATTAGAGCCTGTGTTAATGTATATAAAATAGACCAAACCTGGATATAAGAGACTTCTTCTCTGGTCCCGACAACTCTCTTATATCCGGGTTACACTGTATTTAAATTTATCCACTCATTTGTTTTTATTTCTTTTTACAGAATTGCAATTTCAGTCACTCCTTTGTACTCTATGTCATATGATGATCAACTAAAGGCAAGTGAGATCAGTTATTTCCATTTAATGTTAAATAAAAAAAAAAAAAAATTATTTTTTAATTACTCACACTGAAAATTTATTGGTCAAAAATTTTACAGCCATGTTTAACCTTTGTGCCAGCAAAAAGTCCAGTATGTCAACATCAATTTTACTGTATACAGTTTTGATTCCCTAGGCTGTGTTTCTGTCCTGGGTATGACGATAAACTACATCCGTGTCCTGGGTAAGATGATATACTACATCCAGCTACAAGGCCTCTGATCAAGAGGTTTTGAGGAGCATGGAACCACCTCTTAATTGCTATTGTTCCCAGGTCCACCATCACCTGTTATAGTCTCAGTTATGGGCAAATAGTTAACCCTTAAACTGGGGTCAAAATTCTATGAAAGTATAAAAATATATTTTTATAGTAAAAATACCAATAATACATTTTTAAAGAAAATATTACCAGCAATAAATTTTTGGAAAAAAAAATTTCCAGCAATACATTTGACACTTAATAAAAATACATCAATGAAGCCTGATCTGCAAACTGATTTCTTACAAAGAATACATCTTCTATTCATACGAACATATCCTAAAAATCTTGTCAGCATTAAATAACCCATTAAAGATAATATACCATAAAACAAAATAAACCAAACCAATTAGTCCAGCAGCTCTGATGGCCCAGGATGGGATTTGAATCCAACAATCAATGTCACAATGCTGAATAATTAAATAGACTGATATGGGAAAACAAATATTTATTGAAGGTGTTTTTGATAGATTTTCTTTTGTTGTTATTCCAGGTCTCTGTACCCATTTAGTAAGTACCTGGCTCCTCCTGCTATACTCTACCTTTACAAGAGCCAGATCAGGATGAAAATGGAGTACAGCTGCCATATATGGGCAGGCAATTTGGCACCTAGGTGTGGTGTAATTGTTAGCAAGCTTGTTTCGTTAAAACAGTTATGATTGAATAGTGAGTTCGATCCTTGCTGGGTGCCCCATGCTTTTGACCTTGTGCCATATCTAAGCTATGCTTAGAAAATCAATATATGAGCAGGCACTTCCCACTCATCATTTTCCAGTCTTGATGGCATTCAAAAGTGTCTACATGGTGATGAATTATTTTCCAGAAATGTGGTTCTGCAGAAGGAGGCTGAGAATACCATGGTCCAACAACAAAGTTTTAGAGAAAATGGAAACAAAAATGGCACACTTGACATCAGGAAGTGTTATGATGTTGATTTGGGGTTAGTAGAGACAAACGCCAAATAACACGTAACAATAAAAAGGGTTTTAATAGGTTGGTAAAAAGGTACAGAAACCACCTGAGTAGTCAATAACTAGCTCAGCTAAGAACTTCTCTGTCTTTTGACATGCCACTATTTAAAGTCTTTGTTCGCAGACAAGTTCATCTTCAAGAGGGGTGGTAGGTTTCCGACACAACAGGAAGAAACAGTTGAAATTCCTAGAGGACATAATGAGAAAAGAGGGCTTGTCAAATTTGATACTCACTTGACATATTGAAGGCAAGAAGGATAGAGGAAAACAACACATAACTGGCTTGAGTAAATGGATGGCAGAGCAAGGTTTAGGAGAAAAAGCAAAAAGACTAAATTTATTAAGAGCTACAAAGGACAGGAAATTGTGGAGAGTCATGATTGCCCATGCCTTGAAGGGACACAGCACATAGAAGAAGAATAATACAGTATTATATACTTTTGCCATTTTCATCCTCAGAGTCACTGTTTGGGAAATTCACTTATAGTAGCACCGGTGTGGTGGCAAATTTGCTAGATTACATTTTGTAAGTCTATAATTAATGCTGGATTTTTTTAGAAGCCTATAATTAATAAAAGTGGATTTTTATTTTAATCTTTATAATTAGTATCAGATTTTACAGTGAACATTAGTGAGCTAAATTAAATATTAGCATTAATGTGTTAATGGGCAAATTAATAATTAATGGGGTAAACTAAATATTAGCATTAATGGGTTAATTAATAATTAATAGGTTAAATACAAAATTTGTGAAATATATAATGCAAATTAACCTCAGTCCTTTTCTTTCAGATTATTATATAATATTTTTTTCTTCTTTTTTCAGTATAAAACTGTACAAGTAAATGAATGCCTCCGGAAAACAATGAGAAAATATGTCCTGACAAATAACCTACCTCTCTCTGAGTTGCTTATTAAAAATATTGAAAAGACAAATGGCAGCTTGTGCCCAATGGAGCCATGTCTACCTTCTGCAAGTATTGTTGCCTTAATTCAATTCCATTTTTTTTTTTTTTTTTTTTTTTTCAGCAATGAGTCATGTGACCCTCCATGTTTTTGTTTCTTTTCATAATAAAGCATAAAAATTATGAAATAGAATGTTAACAGAAAAATGTAATAGTCTGAAAAAAAAAGTTCAATAATATTGTGTTTGAAATCCTCTCAAAACCTCCAAGACCAGGAGGTCATATATAATTGGGGTGGTAAGACACAGGCTACCTTTTCAGACATGATTTTTCAAGAGTAAGCGCATGAACAAAAAAGGAATATTTCTCAAACAGTAAATATAAACAGTTTTAATTCTGTAATCAAAATTCATTAAAAAATTTTAAGCATATGTCTATTAAACTAACAAAATCTTTTTGCTGAAATCAGTTTTCTAGTGACATTCAGAAAGGATGAAATTTTATATACAGTTTTTCCATTTATTTTAGTTCTATTCTGCGTTTTAACCGTCACATTTTTTTTTCTTCTCAACTTCATAAACGTTTTTGTACAGACTGCCATTATCATACAAAAGATGGTACTGCCTGGCATTATCACTACAAGGGAGATAACTCTAGTGTAGTACAATATTAGGAATTAAATTATAATTATTTTTATGAGAATCTTTTTTTCTTTAATACCATGTCCCTTCAGGACGTAGGTAATTATGTCACTATACAGATTCGTATTCTTTATCTATGAATTGCCATACGTTCTTGGGAAATATAGTGGAATGGTTACTGTAATAAGAAATGTTGGATCATAAATAAAAATCCATTTATTCTTTAGAAATTATTAGGTTTCATATATATAAATAAAATTAACAGATATAGGCTTTGATTGATTGATTCATTTTTTTTTATCAACCCTTTGTAGGTTTTTTAAAGCCAGAAAATATTTTTAGATGGGAATTTTTTTTTTTTTTTTTTTTTTTTTAGATTATAAAGATTTAGTGATACAGGTCTTCCTAATTAACCCATAGCTGTGGGGAGAAGAGGTGGATTCATACCTTTCCCAAGGATATTTATGCTTAAGTGAATATAACAAACCCAAATAGAATTGGAACTCAGCTTTCCAATTAACAATTCCAAGCCATTATCCATTACACCACCCACACATTCAATCTTACAGTACCTGGTATTCCCAAGTAGTCATCCATCTACATACTGACCTTACTTCATATTGCTTAACTTTGGTTCATTATATGGAGACCAGTGTTTCAACATGATGTCACCGTAAGCCTATGGGCTTTTAGAGATCTGAACAATTGATGTCAGAAGCCACATTCTCTTTATTAAGACTCTTGAATATACAGGCCAATAAAACTTATACTGTTTAAAAACAGGGATATCTTCTTAAACATGGGTATACAACTTTTAAAGTAATTGGCACCCACCACTCACATCCAAGCATTGGGTCTTCACAGCCATCTCTAAGACCCAGCCTACTCCTGAAGAGTAGTCAAAAATAAATTGCATTTTGGTGGACAACTCTGTGTGACAAGAGAAGCCCACACACTTGGCCAAAAGCGCCTCCCTTGCAGCTCTGGCAAACCTGGCTGCATCAGAATGTCAGATGCTTGGTCTGTCAATGTCCGCTTTGGTAGAACTTTTAAAGTAATAGAATCTTATATGTCTATTGATCTATCTATTTACTTACCATAAAACATTTACAGGTTATATTCACAGACCTTTTACTTTAAAAAAAAAAAACAAAAAAAATAAAGCAAGCAGTATATGTGGATGTTGGGTGGTGGTCTTAAAAGCCATTTTGTCCTAAATAATTTAAAACTAATTCTTTGAGTTTTATATTTTTATTCCATTCATGAGTAGTGTATTTCTATCTTTTATTTTAATTCCAGCCTCTGGTTCATGGATATCGTATGAAAGATGAGTTTGTTGTCGGGCGCAGCCTAGATGGAAATCCTAAAACTGTGGGCCTTACTGTAGGCAAAGGTTTGATCTTTCATCTTCCTCCTCCTCCTCCTCCTCCTCCTCCCTCTCTCACTCTCTTCTTTTTTTTTTTTTAAGAATTTCTAAAAAGAATGAATGCAGGTTACTTCATATTTGGCGATGTGTGGGTGATGTAATGGGTAGCAACTCAGAATGAGAAATGAGAGAGCTATTTTCACATTAGAGTCAGGTCTGTTACATTCACTCTTGGGAAAGGTATGAATCCATCTCCTACCCCAAGCTCCATCTATGGGTTAAATAGTACGACTTGTATATGAAAATATTATTTTTAAAAAAAATTGTTTATACAATATTTACTTGCAAAAAAAAAAAAAAAAAAGAATTATTTTTACAATCCAAAACATATTCCAGCTTTAAGTAACAAACAAAAGGTTGATAAGCCTTAAAAAATAAATAAATCAATACTTTATATTAACATACCTTTATAAAAAGAAGAAAAAAAAGCCCCTGTAAGAGACTTTGTCTCAAAAATGTTAAGTTCACCCTCATTTAGTCCATTTTTTTTTTCATGAACAGGTAGAAACAAAACTTTTTATGAAGTATTCCACTGAGTGTGTATATATATCCCTTATAACTTTTGCAGTCACAATAACATCTCATACAGCGATTTTAGAGAAAGCATTGCATCACCAAGACATTCTTTCCACACACATACATTCAAACTTGGCTCCGTATGATTTCTGGTGTTTCCCAAAATTAAAATTGGTCTTATGGTCACATTATGTTGAAACACTGGTTCTCATACGATCACCAAAGTTAAGCAACATCAAGCCTGGTCAGTACATAGATGGGTGACTGCTTAGGAATACCAGTTGTTGTAAGCTTTGATATGCAGTTGGTGTGCTGGATAATGACTCAGAATTGTTAACAAGAGAGCCAAGTTCCAATTCCAGTTAGGTTCATTATATTCACTTATGCGTAAATATCTTTGGGAATTCACCTCTTCTCCCCCCCACCCAGCTATGGCTTATTTAGTAAAACTTTTATCACTAAATCATTATCTCAAAAAAAAAACAAAAAAAAAAAACAAAATTCTTCCAATCTAAAAATATTTTCTGGCTTTAAATAACCTGCAAAGAGTTGATAAGCCATAGAAAATGAATCAAAGTTAAAAATCACCATTAGAAGTAAGGTAATTTCAGAGAATGCATAATATTAAAGTAAATGTAACAGCTGATGATGGTAATACCTAAAAAGGATTTTGCAAACTATTTTGAAAAGTGTAAGAGATACTGGAATAAATGTATAACCTTAATAACATCTGATAAGAATATAGGACTAAATTGGCTATGAGGTTACCTTCTCAATTAACCCTTGAGAAAACTAGGTATTTTTTGGTATGAATCACATTCTACCCTTTCTAGGGGACTAAGGTTATTTTTCATTCATTCGTCCTGGGTAAGACAATACATCTACATCCATGTCCTGAATAAGATGACAAACTATGTCCAACAGCAAGGCCTCTGATCAGGAGGTTTTGAGGAGCATGAAACCACCTCTTAATTGCTGGTGTTCCTAAGTCCACCTTCACCTGGGGTGGTAGCACCTGTTAAGGTCCCTGCTATGGGCAAATAAGTTAACCCCCCGAACTGGGGTCAAAACACTATGAAAGTGTAAAAATAGGTTTTAATACAAGCAATACTTTTTTGTAAAAAATTATAATGAATTTTTGAATGAAAAAATTATTACCAGCAATACATTTTTGAAAAAAAAAATATTACCAGCAATACATTTTTTGGGAAAAAAATATTACCAGCAATAAAAATCTTGTCAGCATTAAATAACCCATTGAGGTTGATATGCAGTAAACCAAACCAAACTTTTCATTCATATTAAATGGTTAGTGTTGTAACCTAGGGAAGGTTACTGAATAGAATAATCAAACAAAGGATGGTAATGAATGATAATACTTAGGACAAGAACAACACATATAAGATTTGCCAGCAGTGCATAGAAGTAGTAGTTAACTGCTAGAAGTGAGTCAAGAGAATTCCACAATGAATCTCCAACTCTAGACCACGTACAGTATTCACTACTGTATTTTTGGGAATGGGGGCATACCCATTATCGTCCGTAGGTATGCTGCAACAGTTAGATACTTTTTGGACAGACTTCGTCAGTGCTGTTGTTTAACAATATATTGCATCAGCTGCTTTAAAGGATTCATTATTTTCACGGCCTTCATCATGCTATACAATCTCTAATTACTGATTCATTACCAATGAGAAGACAAAAATATTATAAAATTTCTCAGGTATATAGTGATAATCTTTCATTCCTGAGTACTGCCATTTTTAAGTATAAAGATGTTGTTTACTCCATGCTATAAAAGATTGCTCTACTTTGTATTGAACCCTCCTTTTAAATTAAATTCTACAAACATTGGAATTGTACTGTATTCATTCTCATCTTCCTGGATATATATATATATATATATATATATATATATATAATTATTTATATATTATATGCATGGTACTTCTTAGAAAGTGCTCAATATCAGAGATAGAGCTAACATATTTGGTTGGATTGATGTGCGTTTGCATCCAGCATGAAACAGCCTGTCGCCTCTGAGTGTTGACTTCAATGTTCACTTTTATATTTATATATGTTCTATTTCTGATATTGAGCACTTTATCCCATAAATATAGCATACCTAAAAACTATATTTCTTCATATATATATATATATATAATATATATATATATCCAGGTAAGATATATATATGTCCATTCTTACACTACAAAGACAAATTGAAAGTCAACTTGAAATGTCTCAACTTTGGTCTGAAAACCTGGGAAGCCCAAGCATCAAATCGAAAGGAGTGGTGTAAGACATCTTTAATTAAGTTAAAGGGTTTTGAAGACAGTAGACTGAAGCTTCATCAAGCTCTGAAGCAGACACGCCATCAAAATCCTGCTTTAACAAATTTCATCTGTCAGTGTGGCTTTGTCACACTTAAGAAAGCACAAATGAAAATGTCTTTCGCTTACCTGATTTTCTCCACAAGTTTAAAACAAAAGGCACCATCCAATGCTGACCATAATTTATTGCTCACAATAGGAGAGTCCACCATATATATATATATATGACAAAGCAGAAAAAGATTTTGTGTGATGCATTTCGTCCTTTAGGATTTTATCTGACTAAATTGATGTTTGCATTGATGTGACTAGAAATATACACACAGGAGAGGGGATGTTGAATTTCTTTTTGTTTTTAAATATGTGTTTTGGGTACATAATCTAGCCAATTTACAAAAGAAATGGGCAGTATCTACCCTTTTCTACTCAAGGTAAACTGGCACCATGTTTTTAGAGAGTATATACACTTCTTTCCTCAGGGTTAGCTGACACTGTGTTTGTGAAGTGTATGTACACTTCTCTCCTCAAGGTTAACTGACAACATGTCTTTGGGTATGTACACTTCTCTCCTCAAGGTTAACTGACAACATGTTTGTGCTAAAGTTTAGCAGAATAGTAATAGTGTCAGTTTATTTCAAGAAGACAAGTTTACAACAAAAATAGAGTCCTGGGTATGATGATAAACTACATCTGGCAGCTAGGCCTCTGATTGGGAGATTGAAATTTTTGGGGAGTGTGGAACCACCTCTTAACTGCTGTTGTTCCCAGGTCCACCCTGACCTGGAATGCCAGCACCTGTTAGAGTCCCAGCTATGAGTGAATAGTTAAGCCTTAAACTAAAATCAACAGTACATTTTTATAATAAAATGACCAAAAATACCTTTTTATAGATAAAATTACCAACAATACATTTTATGATCTACAAACTATATATTGAAAAACATATCTTTACTCTGAAAGTATAAAATTATGTACAAGTTGAAAGCATAAAATTGCATGCAGGATATTTAAATTTCGGCATTAAATAACCGATAGAGGTTGATATGTCGATAAACAAATTCAACAAACCAACAACAAAAATAAATAAACAAACAGATGAAAAATCTTCATAATAAGAGTGCTAAACACCACAATGGCGACTATGAGCAATTGCCTTCACTTTCTACTACTTCCTCTTCCATTTCATATCACACACCACATTCCTCATTGCCATTTTGACTGTAACCTTCTACCTTGAGTGGCTCTCCAGCCCTGTATTAGATTTTTATTTCTTACCACCTTTTCTTCCATTCATATCACACACCTCATTCATCATTACCATATTGACTGTAACCCTCTACCTTGAGTAGCTCTCCAGCCTTGTATTGGGTGAAATTTAGTATTAGTAATTTGATCTCTTTATCTTACAGGTATGAATTCTTTCTGCGTTCCAGTCACATATTTATCAAACATCAGTGAAAAACATAAAGAAATCGCTAAAGTAAGTATAAAATTCCCATCATATATGAACGTCACCTGCGTATGTTGAAAAGCTTGCCAGTTAACCTGTACCTTATCATAATTACCATCATTGCAGTCACCAAATGCATCAAGCAGTACAAGGGCAAAGTAGATAGAAAACAATGTAGGAGCTGCTTGACTCCATTTTCAACCCTGATGGGCGCCGTAAGCACACTGCCAAAATTGATACAGGCTTTCATACTGTCATGGAAGGCCTCAGAATCTTGTGAAAGTGGGTATGTACAGCCCAATTTCGAGAGGACCTTCCAGAGACCAGCACAGTTAACAGTGTCAAAAGCCTTCCTCAGATCTGCAAATATTTGAGCTTTTTTCCTGGATTTGTGCTGTGAAAATCATATATATGGTTAGCAAAATCTGCATTAATGTTTATAAATACACACACTCAGCAATTTTTTCTTGGTCTATCATGAAACATAGTGTAAACAATGACAACATTATGAAATAGATTAAGCCCAACAATTATTTAATATATTTTCTGTTCATATGTTATTTTTATAGATATAATTTATTTAAGTAAATTCTCTGTTTTTAATTAAAATAATTAGATTTACCAGTTTGAATGTTCAAGAAATTTTGTAGAAAATATGTGCTTTCCAACAGAAATTGAACCTGTAACCCTTATGGAAACTGAGATATAGCTTGACATGGTGTTATCATTCAGCTACAGAGAAGTATCTGGTTGGCTATAAGGTTACCTTCCCAATTAACCCTTGAGAAAGTTAGGTATTTTGATGTTCTGAGGTGAAACAAAGTTGACTTATTTCTGGGTATGTATTAGTGTCACTTCTAAGATCATACATTTCTGATGGACATTAAATTCAATTCAGAACTCTGCTGTTTTTGGTATGAATCAGATACAACCCTTTGAAGGCGACTGTGGTCATTTTTCATTCATATTAAATGGTTAAATACATTTTGGACAGACTTCATTGTTGGTATTTAACAATATATCGCATCAGCTGCTTTAAAGGATTCATTATTTTCACTGCCTTCATCATGCTATACAATCTCTAATTACTGATTCATTACCAATGAGAAGACAAAAATATTATAAAAATTTCTCAGGTATATAGTGATAATCTTTCATTCCTGAGTACTGCCATTTTTAAGATGTAAAGATGGTATTTTACTCCATGCTATGAAAAAGATTGCTCTACTTTGTATTGCACCTCTTTTAAATTAAATTCTACAAACACTGGAATTGTACTGTATTCATTCTCATCTTCCTGGATATATATATATATATATATATATATATATATATATATAAATATATATATATATATATATATATAACAAATATATATAAAAGTGAATATTGAAGGATTTGCAATTTCATTTTCACGGATTTGCACCAAATTTTTTTTACATGCACATGCTCCAAATTAGCCAGAAGGCCAAGATTCCGGTGGTAATTTTGTATTTCCAGCTCCTATCTGGATAGTAGGTGGAAATAATTGATTTTTTCATATGCTTCTACAGCAGTTTTCATGTAGTTTGTGGCCATTTTGTACTGTCCAGAGTGAGAGCCATAGCTGCATTCTGTTGGCTACCATGAATAGGCAGGAAGATTCATATTGGCCATACATGAGAGCCAACAGCGTTGACTGGACATGAATGTTGGCGGCGCCCGCGTTTTTAGCATGCTAGCATGCAAAAATAATCGATAGCTGTATTCGTTTCAAACAAGTGGGGAAAAATTTAAATCTGCATGGCACTGGCACTTTACTCCAATTGGCTCATTAAACCTTGCTTAAACTCAACGTTGATTCTGATTCCGTCAGAACTGGGTTGGGTGTGAAAAAGTTTATTTGTTGTTAACATTCTTTTTTTTCATTCAGTTTTTCCAGTTACGAGTCCTTTTTAAAGCTGATTGTTTTGTGTTCATTTTATTTAGTTCTTTTTCATGTAACAGATTTAATGTTTAGTATAGAGCTTAGAAAAAATTTTAGTGTGAGATAGGCAAGAAGTAAGGCATGTAGCAACATGAGCATGGCAAAGGACACTCCTTTAAAGGCAAGGAAGGGCAAAAATATTTTAAGTCAAGTGATAGCAATTGCTGTATGAGTCGTATGCGATTTTTGAATCAAGCACGGGCAACGCTGCTAATGCTAATATATATATATATATATATATATATATATATATATATAAAAGTGAATATTGAAGGATATTATACATAGTAGAATCCTAAGCAGAATTCAGAAATCACTGAACAGCCATTTCATCCTATCTTTTTATTTTTTTATATCCTATCTAGATTTTTTTTTTGTCTCATCAGTAGTGCATATCCACTACCGAAAATTGAACCCAGACCATTACAATACAACACAAGCATCATACCACTGGGCCAGCAGGCCTCGGTGACAAAAAGGAAACTAATTAGTCCCAACAGTGCAGACACTCCTAATTCCGGTGGTAATTCTCATCCAAGTATACATAACCCACTGGAAACAACCCCAAGGGCAACATCTTCTTTCACCAAGCCGCTTTATCTAGGTTATTAAACCTGGATCAAGTATAGGCTTATAGTAATAAAACTTTTTTGAGATTTGAATAATTTTACATAATAATTCATAGTCTTGAACAAGAATCCTCAACAGAATGCAGAAAGCATCATCCCACTGGGCCAGCAGACCTCAGTGGCGAAGAGGAAACTAACTAGACTCAATATAGCACAGCTACTCCTAATTCTGGTGATATGATGCTTGCATTGTATCATAACAGTCTAGATTCAATTCTCTGTAGTGGATGCACACTGCTGATGAGTCCCCTAAAAAAATAGGCAAAACGTCATCCAGTGCTTTCTGCATTCTGTTGAGGATTCTTGTTGATTCGATTAATTATTATGTGAAATATCAAGAAGGCAAAAACTTAACACATAAATATATGATAAAAAAAACACATAGACTAGGTTCCAAATACATTAGATATATAGTATATAATTATGTTAACATTGTGCGAGCTAAGTTTATTCCATAAGACATTATTTTAATAATATATTATAACGGCAGTTTTTTATGCAAAATGTGTTATTGGATACACTTAAGTAAAATGTCAGTCTTATCAAAATCATGTTTATTTTAAATACAGCTGTACTTTTTGCCCACAGTAAATGGATATATAGGGCCAGCAGAAAATACACTAATTGTATAATGTGACCTTAAAATTAGCTTCAAAATTAAGTCTTCAAAAGTTGCATGATATACAAATATATACAATATGTTCATTCTTTTTACTATAATTTTGTACTTGTAACAAAAAGGCAAAAAAATTAAAAGAAAATTTATTGTTTTACTAGATTTGTATTAAGGTCTGGTGCCTATCTACTGTAAAAAATGCTGAATATTTCTAATCCTGATTCACTCCCTAAAATCTGATCAAATGACCATTTATTATTATTATTATATATAGTAGATATCAATTTTGAGATTTTTTTTTTTTTTTTTTGGTTTCAAATTATTTTAATTAATCTTTTTTATTTTGGTCTTGCTTATTATTCTTGTAAATTCTTATAACATCTCCATGCAATTTTCATGACTATTTCAGGTCTTTCAAGAGTTCATAAGATCCAGCAAATTTGAACCATACACTAAACATCTTAGTACTTCCAACAATCAAACTTATTATTCCTCTGGTCATTGGCGCCTTATCTGCACAAGATCAACTTCTTCGGATGAGTCAATGTCCTATGTCATATTTCACCCACGAAGAAAACCCCAGGTAAGCTATTGTAATATAAGAGACTTGACTAAAATCTTTGCAACCATTCATTAACTCAAATAAGCATATGAAATGCAAAGATGTTTATTAAACATCTTTGAGTTTCATGAATTTTAAAAGAAAAAAATGTTTTAAATATTTTTTTTTTATTTAGCCAGTCATCTCATGAGTAATGTCCAAAATCTTGTTTGAAAAAGGTCGAAGATATACAGTCATTTTTTCTTTTTTAAACAATTTCCATGAAATTGGCTCTTATGAAATTGCTTTGTGAATTTGGAGCTTGCATGTTATCTGCTCAAAAGCTGAAAAGAAAGAGAGACGGAGAACAATATTTCTCTATGGGCTTATATCCGTAATGGCTGCCCTCTTGTGATTTGTTTCTGAAAAAAAGAAATTTTCAACGGAAGTAATTGGCCTTTTCATTTTTATTTTTAAGGCATTGAATCATTGTAAGAATGTTACTGATTGTAATTGAACGGATTTTTTAATGAATAAATCCTAATTAAGCCTGAATTATTTCTGATGACCTTACATTCAAAAGAATACTTATAATATGATCTGATATAAGTGGGTCCTAAGAAGTTGTCTAACTCACATTCCCTGATCTGAACAAACATCAGAATTTTCTAGCATTCATTCATAAGCTAAAAATTCTAAAAAAAATTTTTCATGTTCAAAGTGGGTAATTGTTATACTGGAACATACTTATTCTATTGTTAATAGACTCTCCCACATATAATAAGTAGTAGTAGTAGTAGTAGTAGAAGTCACCAGTGAGCTCAGTGAGTTGGTCAGTCAGTTGATGTCGGACATTAAAGTATCAACCACCACAACTAGATTGCTGCATCATTAATTATTATTTCAAGTTCCTAATGTTTTGTACGTCAAACCTTTTTAGGACCGACTTAGTGAAATACAAGCCTCCACTGTGAAACTATTCTATAACAGTAATAGATACAACTTTAAAAAATTTAAAACCTTATCAAAGAGAACAATCACTTAAAGAAAATAAAAATGCAAACCTATTATTTTCACTAAAGTAATTCAAAGACTTTTTATCGTACATAGATATTTAAAAAGATAATCATTGTTTATTATTAATTTTTGACTAGTATACTTTTCATCTTAATTTAAATTGTTTTTTTATTGCAACAGGCCTAATTGTCCTTTTACACAGTGCCAAACATTTCACACTTGTTCAGCAATAACTGCAATGATAATGTTGTAATCTTGTAGGAAATTCTGTCATCCAGTTTTTTTTTGTATAAAACATTTGAACATCCAATTCCCAAAGAATAATAAAATAAAAATAAAGAAAACATGGGTATGCCTGTTAAATAAATCATTTAGATTTACAAACCTATGTACATGAATTCAAAAGGGAGTAAAAATAGTTTTTAGTTGAGTTTTAGTCTTTGGGTAGTTGGTACACAGAAACAGCTGTAGTTTAGAAAAGAATTTGATCATCAGCAAAGATTCACTGATCATCCAAGCTGTTGCTGTATGAGATGATTTGTGTTGAAGTTACCAACATGTTTCTTTCAGAACACTGGAGGAGAAGGAAAAAGCTTGCCACATCTATTCTTGTGTTTGAACAGCTTGGAAACAGTCACATCTCTTCTATCAAAAGTAGAAAACTGTGTGTTGGAAATAGGGTTTATTTTCTATAATCTCAACACTTTTTATTATCAGTTTCTGGAACAAGCAAGCATGTCACATCAAAAGAAATTATTTTGATCACCAACTGTGAAAATAGTCTCACAATATTTTGATACTCCCCTTCTAAATGATTATAACTATTTTTTATGATAAAATCTATGATGCTAGTGGGGAGCACTGGTGAAGCTTGAGCCACCCATTGGAACTGAAAACTAAACAAGACTAAATTTGACATCAATCTATGGCAACGCTATTGAGTTGAACTCTATCATTTGTCTAAAATCATTACTGTCATTAATTTTCAAAATAAATAATAAGACTTTATGTATTTTATTTTTTAAAACATTAGCTTCTAAAACTTAAATATATCTTATATACAGAAAAGTCTCACACCAGAAAATAAGTACAAGTGATGGTTGGTAGGAATTAATGTACACTGTTTCCCAAACTTCCAAGTGATAATTGGTATTAGCTATATTCAGCAATGGGAACATGTCCAGGCTAAAAGACTGGGCACACTGCTGCTTTTTAATCAAATGTTCAACTTTTGTGAAACCTGATACATAAACACACTATGTAAATTGTTCACCATTCTCTTGTAAAAATTGGCCGGTACATGTTAGTGTGTGTGTGTGTGTGTGTGTGTGTGTATATATATATATATATATATATATATATATATATATATATATATATATATATATATATCCAATGTGATGAGAATGAAAGTAATATATAAATCCCAACATTCACAGCATTAATCCAAAAGAGGGCTCGATACCGATAGTAGAGTGATAATTATTTATTTATTATAATTTTATCATATAGACAAAACCATTTTACTCACTACAAAGATGCAACTTCGTTTCAGTGCATTTCAACTGCACTTCAACAAAATGTTTATCAGCAAAAAAAAAAATCTCCACAGACCTGTCAACATTAAACACCCAATCCATTCTTCACCAAACTGCTATCAACAAGGACTATTGTTTCACTCCGTCACCATTTTTCTTTTCTTTATGTATATTTTTCTTCTCAAACAAATGGAAAAAAGGAAATGACGTTTCACATATGGCTTACCTACAAGCAGAATTGTTTATAACCATTTTCGATTCTCACTCGTCGAAGTACACATTAATTCTGCAAAGTCTGTACCTCGGCTGGGCCTTCTGTGTACATTCCAAAGGTGACTGTTTTAAAGTGGGTGGTGGCTATATTAAAAATAACTGACAAGATACTGCAGTTAAGCTTTTTATTCAGTTTTTATTGTATTCCTTCAGGTATTTTCTTTTCTGGTGTGTGTGTGTGTGTAAAAACTGTTCAGATGTTCTATATATCTGAGCACTTTCAGCTATTTTATTAAACATTATCAAGAATGACTTTTTAACTGAATATATAGATTTTTATATATATGTATCTATAGTGATGGGATTGATTTTTTGGGGCGGAGGGCAGTTTTTACACACTTTATGTTCCAAAAAGAAAATACTTGTACAAATGTAACAAAAATTGAATAAAAAGCTTAATTGCAATACTTTATCAGTCATCTTTAATAAAACTTGTATAAATATATATGTATATATATACACACTAAAGAACAGCATTGGCATATACAGGGTGTGCATATCCTTATCAGCTTTATTATTATTGTCCTTTATTATTATTATTGTCATCTATTATTATTATTATTGTCCTCTATTATTATTATTATTATTGTCCTTTATTATTATTATTATTATTGTTATTGTCATCTATTATTATTATTGCCCTTTATTATTGTCCTCTATTGTTATTATTATTGTCCTTTATTATTGTTATTGTCATCTATTATTATTATTATTGTCCTTTATTATCATCCTTTATTATTATTATTATTATTATTGTCCTCTAATATCTTTTTCTTTTGTCAGTCTTTCTCTTTTTCTTCCCTTTTCTTAATTCTTTCTCATACTATTTCTGATTTCTGCTTTTGTTGCCCTTTCAACCCAACTCTTACTTTCACTTTATCATGCCTTTATTTTTGGAAATCTTTCAAATTTTTACCCAGGAAGTAATAGAAGAGGCCAAAGAAGAATTAAAGAATTTTTACCTGCATGGTCCTGGAAGACTCTGTGGCATAAGCACCATGTTCTTTCAGCCTACGTGAGTGACCTTTAATCAACAGTTTTCAAACTTCACTTTTTCATCAGTATTGTAGAACTGGACTATCTCATTAATGTATTTCTAGACAATGACAGTCATTCTCATTATGTAAAATCATCATGCTAATCACTGTACCATGACAACTGCTATAGACTAACTAAACCAATTATAACATGACTGCATTTCTAGCACATATAGCAAGGATTTTATCTCACTCAATGATTTTGGGCACAGCCAACTTTTAATGGCTTCTAATTATTTCTTGAACTATACGAAGACAACATTCCCAGAAAACTTGTTAAGAATCAAGCTCAATCTTCATGTCATGTGAGACATTCAACCCAGTCAGTCTGCCAATAGGCTTTGTACTATCTATTCATGTTCTATGCAAGGTTTTGTAACATTGTGTTGGAACAGCTCTGTAATCTTTACAATGGCTGATGAATTCAAGCAACATGCCTGCATCAAATTCTGCATGAAGCTCAGCAAATTTGCTAGTCTTTAGGAAAATTGTTATATATATTCTTATAATATAACTTTATTGGCATTTCTAAGAGATTTTCAGAAAATTGAACTTTCTCTTTTTGTTCCTATGAAATTTCAGATGTACTACTTATGAACAGATGAATGCTATAGAATGGTTCAAGCAAAATGTAGGAACAACAAAAGTATCCAACAAAAATCTATTTGAAAATATATATATATATATATTCATCCACAATTAAAAGACAGACTGTTTCGCTGTTTCACAGCTCATCAGTGTGGCTAGACATCAGATTGCCTCAAGTCGGGATTGAAACCCGACTGATTGGTATCAGTCAGAGATTCTACCCTTAAGCCATTGGTGCATGGCAGGGATGGAGGTGAATTTAGATGTATTTATTTTTAGATATACATAGATTTTATATATATATATATATATATATATATATATATATGACAAAAGAAAAACTTAGCTTAGGTGACACCTATCATCCTCTGAAGGATTTTATCAATGTAAATATAAGGAGTTTATTTTGTGACAGTATTTATATACAAGAGCAAAAATGTTAGTTTTTTTTTCAAAATTCTTTGGTATAGGAGTGCTCATGAATTTCCATCATGTAAGTTCATGGATGTGAGGTGATACAGTTCAATACTTAATAAAAGAATCCAAAAAATAAAAAGAAAACATTTAAATACATAACCTCATGTTATTCAAAGCATATAACACATAAATCTATCCCAATCTAAAATTATATATATATATATATATATATATATATATATATACTCACTTTTGTCTATTAGGTATTGAACTGTATCATGGCCTGAGGATTGCATATAAGCATGAAACAGCCTGTTGATATTGTGTCAATACCTATGTCCACATTGCTTATGTTTACATGTGTTCTGTCTCTGATAGTACTTTTCTCCCATAAATATAGTATTCATTAAAAACTATATTTTATCATTATATATATATATATATATATATATATATATAATATATATATATAATCGTCACCTCTCTCTGTCTTTTCTACAAATACTTTCATGGTAATTGCTCCGCTGAGCTGCTTTCACTGGTTCCCAGATTCCATGAATTCAAGCGCCCTACGAGGCTGGCATCCTGCTCTCACCCTTACACTGTAGAAACTTTTAAATGTGGCCGTCTCTTCTACTCCAATAGCTTCATACCTCGCACTTCTTGCCTGTGGAACACCCTTCCCAATTACTGTTTCCCTGAGAGCTATAATCTCCAACTATTCAAATGTAATGTCAATCGACATCTCCAGTTACCTTGATCTTTTCCACTATCCATCTCCTCATCGTTTCTTCTATCACTCCTATCTGCTCTCGCTCCAAATCTTCTGCAACCCCCTGCATCGTAGTGGCTTCACGCCTTGCTCAGGGGCGTAATGCATGAAAAATATATATATATATATATATATATATATATATATATATATATATATATATATATATATATATGGGACACAGGTTTATACAACCATTTAGGAGGGAAAGTGTGATCTTATCTCAAGCTAAAGTGTTTTTATTTTATGAATAGCAGCTGGAGTGTTTTTTAAGTTGTTTTTTCTGGGTGGCACCAGTTGACTGAAGAGTAAATAAGAGGATGTAGGTTTTTGTGACCAAATGACAACAAAACCATACATAGCAAACAGCTGGTTGTTAGTCTATATTAACCATCAGGTCAGTTCTGGTCCGCCTTAAGTTGGGAGCAGTCTGTCCATCGCATAGTTCTGATGCCGACAGTTTGTACTTCTAGCCACATGTCGGTATGTGTAAATGGGCAATGACTTGGTAGGGTCGGGGAAGATCCGATCTATGAAACTTACAGAAGTTGTCCCAAGTGTCACCTACCTACCTAACCACCTTGACTTAGCAAGCAAAGCTCTGTATAAGACCAACTGCTTTATAATATTGAAAACATTGTTCAGGTTTTCATTTCGCAACATGTTTCTTTTGCTTTATTATCTTGTGAACATGCACTGGGAATTTCTCGGTTTTCACTGCATACTGACATGACCAAGAGGTGAGGTTTAATTGACCAATCAGCAGAAACCTAGGTGAGAGTCTCATTATATGTTTAGATCTATACATTCGATAAATTAAGTGTTCAAGTGACTCATTTGGTTAGCTGACTTGAGTTTCACATCGAAACATTCATCAATGCCATATGTTTGATAAATCTATTGAACAAACACTAATTCTAACTTATAAATTTTAAATTCTTAACTAACATGTTAGAGATAAAATAAACTGGTTCTAAATTTAAACCATGTAACATTTCTAAAAAAAACCCTAGCAAGAAATTTGAAAGTTAGAATTAGTGTTTGTTCACTCAGAAAGAGTATAAATATGGGATCTGATGCCAAACTCGTTAGTCGGCAAAACCAGATGAGTCATTTGAACTGTTCTTGATTTATTGAATATTATAGTTTTAGTTATTTATTTATTGAGTGCCTTTTGCTGAAAGTTCTGCTAACTTTAAAATAGACATGAAATTAACATAATTTTCACATATTTTCTCAGCTGTAATATATATATATATAATTAACTTTACTAATCTACTTTTTGTATGAATGATTCATTGTAATATAAATTGAACTTCATCACATATTTGATTTAAAAGAACTGATCTGACATGCAAATTTTCGGAATAACAGCTGAGACATTACTCTATTGAACAATTTAGTTCATGCCACATTGACTGATAAACTCCTACAACAAAAAATTCTCGAATTACCATATTAGTAAAAAATGCACTCTCTTAAATTTTCAAAAAAATTCAACCTTAGCATTGCGACTGCACGTTCCAAAAGTTTTATCCGTTAATACATTTCTAAAAAAAACATATTTTGATTCGCATTTAATCTTTTGTCTCTGATACTACCTGGATTTACTAAAAACAAAATAATTTCCATGCCTGGGGAAATTAAAATAATTTCCATGCCCCTTAAGGAACTGTGTTCCTGATCAAACCAAACTCATAAATAATTACATTGGTTACACTACTACATGCCTATCCAGATGACTTATTGTGGCGACACATTTATTTACATCAAGGACATCTATAGAGATGACGGTGTCATTCTCTTCCATAGAACTAGCCCACGAATTGTAGACCGATTGAGAAAGGAACTGATAAAATTTTAAAAAATCACAAACTAAATATTACCACCACCATCAATGCTAAAGTAATAAACTTCTCAATGTAACCTCAGACCTGAATAATGATTATTACAAACCGTACACAAAAGGGTTATATAATCATAGATACGTTAGTAAAAAGTCAAACCACCACCACCATAATTTGCATAAATCAGTCCAAGTTAGATTATCCACCAACTCCAGCAATAAGGAAATATTTGTTAAGTCTAAAATTAAAAACATAAAATTAAATATCACAAAGTATAAAGTAAATTTACAGTATTTAGAAATATCAAAGGTAAAAATAAGCAGAAACTTTGCAAACGCAACATTACATGGTTTAATCCACCTTTTAACCATAATGTTCAAACTAATATCGGAAGAATTTTCCTAAAGTTAATTCATAAGCTCTTTAACCATTCACCAACACTAAAAAAAGTTTTTTAATAAAAATAATGTTAAGATCAGCTATAGCTGTGTTAATTACAGACATCCACCTCAAATAGAACAACATTATATTAAACAAATATATTTCCAACAAAGACAATGTAATTTCTTCTAAAAATAAATGCATCTGCCAAAAAAATATGATCTGTCCCTTAAATGGTTTATTTATGACCAATAATATTGTATACCGAGCAAGCATACATTATGGTAACGATATTAAATTTTATTTTGGTTCCACTGAAAATCCTTGGAAATTTTGTTTCTACCATCATCAAATGACTTTAGGTAATATAAAATACAGAAACAGTACTGCTCCCTTTAAATATTTATAGCAATTAAAAAAAATAATGGTAGTTCCCCTTATATTAACTGGAATATTATAGCTACAGCTATATATATATATATATATATATATATATATATATATAATATATACACATATATATATATTTGTATGCACCATTATATATGTTATGGTAATTTACCCATGCATGCATAGACTCTCCCAGCTATAAATAGGAGCAGGTGCTGCCTTTTAGAGAGGGAAGTTTCCAGTAGTCACCTCTGACAGTCGGACTGAATATTTTTGCTGTAACATTCTCGTTTGTATGTTTGTATTACTGTTTCTGTTAATGTATTTGTTTAACTCAGTTCCTCTCTTTTGTGTCTTTTATTTCTGGCCCTAACAAGGCCACAAAACAATATATATATATATATATATATATATATATATATATATATATATATATGAAATATAGAAGTTAACACTTAGAGGCGACAATCTGTTTCATGGCCTGGCAATGGCGTCTAGCATCAAACAGACTGTCGCCTCTAAGTGTTGACTTCTATGTTCACTTTATACACACACACACACACACGCACACACTATATATATATATATGTATGTAATTTTTTTTTTTTCCCCTTAAAATTAAAGATGGAAGTCCCGAACAAATGCACATATTATCCCATTTGAGCTGCTCTATGGCCAGCCATATGTGACAGAGACATTACTTGGCTACAAATTCCAAATCTCTCCAGATTCTTTTTTCCAAATCAACACGAGTGCTGCTGAAGTTCTCTACTCTGTAATAAAAGACAGTGCCAAATTGACACCCAATGAAGTCATTCTTGACATCTGCTGTGGTACAGGTATGTAATAAAGTGATTTTCCACTAACCTATCGGCTAAACTGCCCAGAGTTTTCCAAACGTTTTTTTTGCATTGGTTGTTGCACTTTTTAGAAATAAATTCTATTCTGACGCATTTAGTTTATGTACTTCAGAATGTACTTACAAATTCAATAAAAAATTTTGTTAATAACTAAAAAAAAGAACAAGTAATTGATAACACTAAAGTGTCACGAGACACCATTTATGCCTTGGAATCATGTTAGATAAGTTAGCACTCTGTATAAATTTTAGATGTCAGTCAATTAAATGCCATACGTGATACACACTTGGACAATCATGTCTCCCTGAATTCATGACTGATTAGGCAATATTTTCCAACAGTAAGTTTCTTTTTGCAGTAGACTGGTTGCTAATCAATGCTATAGAACCCAGTCTATCCTGCTATTTAACTCATAGCTCGGGGAGAAGAGATGGATTCATACCTTTCCCAAGAGTATTTGTACATAAGTGAATGTAAGAAACCTGACTGGAATTCAAACTTGGCTTTCCAATTTCTCATTCCATGCTGTTATCCATTACACCACAACAAACAAACATCCACTGCACACAGAAGATATCACTTGACGTTTACAGACTTATAAAAATACTTCTTAAATGTAAGAAGGAAAAGAATGGTTTTGTTAAAAGAGAAATTCTTCTGTGAATTTTGTCTCCAGACTTTTGATAGTTCTGATATGTTTCTACCTCAGCTAACAAGAGACTTATCACCATATTACATTGAAACACCAGTTTTCATACAATCATTGAAGTTAAGTAATGTTGAGCCTGTTCAGTTCCTAGATGGGTGACCACTTGGTGAATACAAGGTTCTGTAAGCTTGGAGATGCAGCTGGTATTGGCTTATGGCCATGTCCTGTTGAAACACTGTTTTTTGTACAGTCACCAAAGTTAAGCAATGTTGAGCCTAGTCAGTACTTAGATGGGGGACCACTTGGGAAAAGCAGGTTCTGTAAGCTTGGATGTGTGGGTGGTGTAATGAATAACAGCTTGGAATTTGAAATCAGTCAAGTTCCAATTTCAGTCAGGTTTCTTATATTTACTTATGCAAAAATTCCTTTAGGAAAGATATGAATCCACCTCTTTTCCCTTCAACTATCTATGGCTTAATTAATAGAACTAGATTATGCCCCAAAAATTCTAACAATCTAAAAATATTTTGGGGGGTTTTAAATAGCCTACAAAAAGTGAGATAAGCTGTAAAAAAACAATTCACAATTCAATCAATCAACTTACCATAATATCAAGATAATTTTTAATCTAGAATTTACATTTGCATGAATTTTGCCTTATTTTTTGTAATTTTATTTGTTTGTCTTTGGGCACTGTTGGTAGAGCCTTGACTATACTGACTGCATCCCTTGCTGTTGGGGAAGACCTCCTCCCCTCCCTATTATGAGTGGACCAGTTTACTTAAGTAGTGGCACTTCAGCCAATATAATGGAGCATTTTCATTCAGAAAAATCATCTTTCTGAAAATGTTCGGCTTCTTGAAATATGGCTCCACATGTGCCTTAAAAAAATAAATGTATGGCTAACATAACACCAGAAACTCATCATGGACCCACTGCTTCACCATATATAAACCCTCCCCAAAATATACAATGTCAACATTGTTGACATCTAAACATGTGAAGACACTTTCTACCACCCAACACACAGCCTCATCTCCATCCGTTTGGCCCATTGAGGATATTCTGATATTTATTTGGTGAAAAGAACTCTTTCACAAAATTGCTTTTCATCTATTTTATTGCTCATTTCATTTCATATTCCTTATGGATGTCTTTTAAAAGAGGCCTGATAATTAGTTTCATGTCTTTTTGCCACTTTTAAGACCAAATATTTTTTCTTTTTGACAAAGACAGATTTTTTTTTATAACTTCTCTCTTGGTACAAGAATTGTCAACATAAAATCCTCAAATTGCCCTTATCTGACCTGCATCAGAGTTGACCAGAAACTTCAATGAACTTCTTGACAGTGCAACAGTTCCATATTTTCTTGTGTATAGTGACTGTATTTCTGAAGCTAAAAATAAGGAATAAATTACATCCTTGAGTATATGACACCATAATACAGCTATCCCTTTTGTTTTTTGAAAAGTTACACCATATTATCTATTAAAATCTCAATGTTGTACATATATTTCAGTAAAATATTTAATTTTTCATATTAAAGAATAGAAATGAACTGGATCTTTAGCCATTGCATGTTTCTTATAATTTCATTTCAAAACTTATTTTCAAATTATTGGTCAAAAGTGGTTTATTGTAATATTAATGTCACCAAAACATGACTTATCTTGTGTATACCCATTATTTCAATGAATTTTCTGTCTTTCAGACAAAAGACAGTCAATTATGCTGATTCCCAAAGAACAAATATGGCCGATATATCAAATACCTTTCATAAACAATTGTTATCAATATCTGCTTTACTTTGTGTTTTATTATCTATTATGCTGAGTGTATTGGCAATCTTTAAGAAAAATCAGTAAAAATTTCTGAAAAAAGTGTATATGAGCCCCTTTATTGACTTTAATTTTTGTTAAAATATTGCTTGTATTATACAAAAATATATATATATATATATATATATATATATATATATATATATATATATATATATAGTCGTTGGCTGATCAATAAAGTAGCATACCCCTTTGTTGTTTGTCTTATTTATTTATTTAATTTTTTTATGTCATGTGGTTATGGTTTCATCAATAAATACTGTTCCGTAATTTTCCTCTCTAGCAAGCTTTACCGGAAGATCCATTTAGGTGGAACCTAGGTAGGTTTGCCTGGCTCCTTGGGATTACTTTACACATATATATATATATATATATATATATATATATATATATATATATATATATATATATATATATTATAATTATTTTTAAAAAATATGATTCTTTTCGCTACATATAGCGAAGGAATCATTTTTTTAAAAATTAATTAAAAAAATAATTATAATTTAAGCTCTATTTCTGTATGGAGCACTGTGTTTTAAAAATATAAACAAAAATACTAAAGAACTACGCCAACTGTCTCCCAATGCAGAAGAGTAAGATCCCCCAAAAGAAGCTACCTCCTGAGTAAATACTTGCAGATTTGTATATAATCTAGGTGGACCTTTTAGTCTCTAGTGTAAACTGTATTTATGTCTGCCATTTTAATTCTAGTTTAAACTAGACCTATGTGACTTTTTTATAATATTATCCCAACATATAGCATTGTTGGAAAGTGTCTAAAAACCATACCATAAGTTTACCCAAGCCTTGTGAGTAAAATTGGGCAGACAGCTGTTCAGAAGTCGTCAATGGTTGAGCTAACATGAAGTTACAAATCCTCACCTAATGGGCAGATAGAAGCTCTTTAGCCTTGGCTGGCAATCCATCTAGAGATGATTTGATAAAAGCAACCATCTCCCAGTAGTCTGGCCATTTTCAGGGATATATCAGCATAAAAACCTCAATTTATAATAAAAAGAAATGTGTCAGATTAGTTTGCAATCTGCTACATGAGGAAATAGTCCAATATAATGATCCCATCATAATGTACTGATGATGACATGGGTATAAACCAAAATATGGTCAGAATTATATATTGACTAAGTACAAGTATGTTTTTATTTTTTCAGCCATTAATTGTTAGAATTTTAAAATAGATATTTTTGGTGAATTTTCATTTTATTTTTATCAATAACAGGGTCAATTGGAATTGTACTAGCACCAAATGCCAAACGATTATTTGGTGTTGAAATTATTCAAGATGCAGTCAATGATGCCAAAGTAAATGCTGAAATAAATGGTTTGTAAAAATTGTTTTTCATTTTATCTTACCTGCCATATTCATTAACAGATTTAAAAGTCAAAATGCTTCATTTACCATTATCTAAGGAAATACTTCCTTTGCCATTATTTAAAGAAACATTTTTTTTTTAAATGTATGCAGTGCTTACGAAGAATTTCTTATGTCTTTGTTATGCTTACAAAAATCTTTTATCATTCATTTAAACGAACAAATCAGAATAAGGAAATCAAGTCTTTTATTAGTCAGGAATTGTTTGCGAAATTTAGATCACCTGGAAAGAGTGGGAAAAGACACTATTTGACTTCAATGGGAAAATGATAGATAGATAGATAGAGAGAGAGAATCAGATTAAGCTGATAAGAACAAATATTACACTTTGATCTCAGCTAAAAGGCTGAAGTGAGGGTGATCATGATAAATGCAACATTTTTCAGACATAGTACTGAATGATGAAAAACAAATAGGTAATCGCCAAAAATCCAGTTACCATAAATAAGATAACATTGTCTAATGAATTATTTTAAAATTATTATTAAGAGAAATGTTCATAAGCCAGGGATTTGGCTAGTTTTAATAATTTTTTTAACATAGCATATACATTTAGGACATAGGTAATCGTGGTTCTACACAAATTTCTTTGCTTAATGAATTATCATGACTTCTTGGGAAAGATAGTGTAATGTTTTCCCATTGTTTTCCCACTGTTTTAAATTGAGACTTGTCCTTCACTTATACTGGCTGTGACCCAAGGCTAGCAGAAGCCAGTCTACTCAGCTGTTTAACTCTTATCTTTTAATAATAATAAAATGTTAAAGATTTCCAATTATAAAATATCCATGCCAGTTCATATAAATGTTCGGCTGGGAATTTTTATGTTAGTTTTAAAAAACATGAAACAAAGAAATGTGCCACAGAGAAAATTATTCGAAAAATAATTTTTTCAACAAGCCAGGTGGGGGTGTTGAAAAAAAAAAATTCAATCTATCCAGCACTTGTTACACAAGAGTAAGTGTCTGGTTTATATATATATATATATATATATATATATATATATATATATATATTGAATCAAACTGTAAAACAGTCATTTTGAATTCTGCACCTGAAGATTGCGTCGTGCATGAAACTCAGTCATGCTAGAGGTGTGAGATAGTATGTATATTTATTAATATATATGTATATTTTTGCTGTTTCATTACATTGAGCACTGTTCCATTAACACCAGTATGATATGTGCAATATGTTGTAATTTTATTACTATATATATATATATATATATATATATACATACACATATATATATAATCTCTGACTGAAACCTTGTGATGCATTCTGATGAGCATTGAAAATTTAGAAGAAAAAGATTGTCAATGGTCATGAATTAATGCAAGCATTACTGAAAGAATAGCATTATTACATATATAATTTCTTATTTTTTCTACAAATTAAAATAAATACCATGTTTTAAATTAATTTTTCTTTTTTTCTTCAGGTGTGACAAATGCAGACTTCATTTGTTCTAGAGCAAGTCTGGCCCTCAAGCAAATTTCTCTTGGGACATATTTTGATCCCAGTGAAACTGCCGTAGCTGTAATAAACCCAGGACGATCTGGTGTCAGTAAGTGACAATTATTTTGCTGCCTTATACCTTACTAATCAAGGTATTACAGATGACCTCCTCACTACCTGTACATCTGATAGCTAACTCAAGAACAGTCAGATTGTGATAAATCTAATCTGACTGGTTATTGATTAAATATTTTTGTAAAATGATTAGTTTAAAGGGAGTTTTTTTTTGTTTTTTTTAACTGTTTTGATTTTTTTAATGATGCATCTGCAATATTTGTTAAGTAAATCAGATCTAATATTTTCCCCCTCTCATTGGACGGAAGTGCATTAAAAAGATTTGGTGTTATTGGTATGATTATTCATGTTATACTCTGCTTCAAATTAGATCTCTTTCTGATTCACTCCGCATCAAAACCTGTCAGACAGTTGTGAACGCTACAAAACCGAAACTAAAAATAAAAAAGTCACTCACTGTGCAGGGGCACTGATTATCGCATCTGGCTCACAACCCCCTCCCTCCCAAGAAAATATAATTTAAAAGAAGCCAATCATGAACATTGACACTAAAACAAAAGCATAAAAACAAAGGCTGAATCATTTATCTACTCTGTCAACTTTAAAGGACACTGTTCACGATACTGAAGACAATCAGCCAACAGGGTGTCATTGGCATCACCAATGACCTCAGTCAACTGACCCAACACAAGCATTAACTCCAGACCCTACCAACTCTCCCTATCCTTTAGATCACTTCTTTCACCCACAAAGAGACATTTCAGCTTGATCCTCTAAATCGGTAATACAAAGAATTTTATCTTAACAATTCTTGTCTTTTTTTCTTTCCACCCTTGGGTAAAGTATGAATCCACCTCTTTTCTCCCCATAGCTATTAGTAGGATTTGTATCAATAAATCATTATTACCTCCCTAAAAATCTTACAATCTAAAAATATTTTTTGGTTTTAAATAATCTGCAGAAGGTTGGTAAACCATAAAAAAAAGTAATTAATTAGTATAGTTGATATTTGTATTTGCAATAGATGCCCCATTTTTATTTTAAATAGTGTGTATTATGTTTATCTTCCTGTGCATCTGAAAAATCTTTACAAAAAAAAAGTGTTCTCTCCTGCAGGGATCGAACCTGCCTCCCCTTTGTTGAAGAAATCACCGTTTGATACAGTGTACTTTACCATTTGGCAACAGAGTTTCACGGTCCAGCAAAGCTCTATTTTCCCTTTTAAAATATCTGAATTAGGAAGTGTGTTTTCCTTAAAATGGAAAATAGTGCCTTGCTGGACTGTGGTGCTCTCTGATGCTGAGCAGTAAAGCACATCAGATCAAACAATGGTTTCTACTACAAAGTGGGATACAGAATCGATACCTGCTGGAAAGCACATTTTCTATATTAAGATTTCTCAAATGTGCAAGCCCATAAACAATACACACTCTTTAAAATAAAATGAGGTGTCTATTTCAAATATGAGTATCAACTATAATAATATTTTAAGAAACAGCAGATATTTTTATATATAGTGCTCAATATTAAAAGTAGTGTTAATAATATTATATAAACAGATTACTTTTAAATATCAATTTTATCCCAACTTCAAAGTTTCTTGGTAAAATTTCCAGTCTTCAGGGGGTTCTGATTTTAAATGATATTTCCATTTTTTTTCAATTTGTTCACATCTTTTTCAATCCATCTTTTTACTCTGTTTTGTACACGTACGTATTCATGAATTTAACATTATTTTATGCGTTCATGAAATTTTGCTTTTGTTTACATTTTTAATTTTTTCAGCTGTAGATTTTTCTTCCATTTTAATAATAATTTAAATCAATTAAAATATTAATTAATGATACAAATACAACATAAAATATTATAATTTAATTAATAATACAAATTAACAAATATTACAATTTAATTAGTAATATAACATCTATATAAATCATTAAAAAAAAATTAAATTTAATTTTGAAAAATATTTACAACTGAAAGAAAAATCTACAGCTGTAAAAATGAAAGATGTAAACAAAAGCAAAATTTCATGAACATGCACATGTAAAAGAACATTAAATTCACGAATGTAATTTAGAACAAGTCTTCAACTTCACCCAGCAGAAGTAACCTAGACTTTCCGTACTTTTTAGGCACTTCCACAGTCATGTACTGTTCAGTTTATATATATATATATATATATATATATATATATATATATATATATATATATATATAACTAGCTGTAGAGCCTGGCGTTGCCCGGGGATGTAACAGTAAGAGATAGATCAAGTATCGACCATCATAAAGACTGAAAAATAAAATTGACAAAGATTATTGTTTAAGGTTGACGGACACGCATGTCTTAATTAGTTTTTTTTTTTTGTTTTTTACGAATTGGTCAAACCCAAACTCAAACAAAACATTGTTTTCAATCGTTATGAGTCTACCGATTGAATAGAATTTTATTATAAACAATTGTCTTGTAAATGGAATTTTTTTAAAGCATTCTGAATGTAAAAATAAAAAAAAAAAGTGTGCAAGACAATAAGAAACACTACCTGCCAAAAAAAAGTGAAGTTTTGTTGGAATCGGTTGAAAAATGTAGGAAATCCGATCCCATATATAAAGGAACACACACACACACGCACACACAACCTGGGTTTTATAATAAGTATAACTCGATATGAGTTGTCCCCCTTTCATTCTTGCAACAGCGATGCCTCTTAATTGTGTTTTCAAATTGATTGTGTTCAAAAACTATTGTTTTTCCAATTTTTGGCACTGTCAGAACCACCGCAAGGTAATTTTATGTAGTCCTGTGAAGTTTTGTTGAAATCGGTTGAAAAATGTAGGAAATCTGATCCAGTATATAAACAAACCGACACACACACACACACACACACACACAACCTGGGTTTTATAATAAGTATATGATAACTGACATTATAATGATGTGTTATGCATTTTAATTTAATTAGTTTAATAATTAAAAATTTGGTTTCTAATAACTGATATTTTGCACTATTCTTCTCAAGTAATCAAGGATGCAATTGTCTTTGTTGTCATTTAGAACAAGTCTTCAAATTCGACCGGCAGATGTAATCTAGGCTTTCCATCTCTCTTTTTTTTTTTTTTTTTTTTTTTTTTTTAAGGCGCTTCCACAGCCTTTTCATTCTAAAATTATTAAAATTTTATAACAGTGAACTTTCCTCACAGTGATATTACCTGTAATTAAGACGATGAAAGCCTGGAACAGAATACTGCAGTAAATAGCTTCCAAAATTATCCCTGGCGCCACTAATGGCAAAATAAGCAGATATTACTGAACCATATATACTAGGTATGTCAATAAAATTTTCTCAAGGAAACTGTTATTTTAAAAATGTAGTTAAAATATTTTTTTGTTAAAAACAAAAAAACAAAGTCTAAAATTTATGTCTTTAAAAAAAGAAAAAGGTGTGGCAAACAAATTTTCATTACTTCTAACATAGGATTTAACTATTAAATCAACTTTTACTTTAATCTAATATTTTGTTAGCCACTGTAAGAACATTTGATGACAAGGGACATAACTCTCTCTAAGAAATATAGAATGCAAACCAGATGTAAAAATGAAATAAATTACACAAACACATTTCCGTAGTTTAGTTTTCATATGCTCACCAAAATTAAGCAGCATTGAGTTTGGTTAGTACCTGGATTGGTGACTATTTGTGTATACCAGGTGCTGTAAATTTGGATGTGCAGGTGGTGTAATGAATAATGACTTGGAATTTGAAAACTGGGAGTCAAGTTCCAATTTCAGTCACGTTCATTATATTCACTTATGCACAAATACCCATGAGAAAGGTAAGACCACATCTTCCCCCTCCACTTATGTGTTAATTAGTAGAACTTGTATCAGTAAAAATCTTAAATTACCTAAAAATGCAATTTACAATCTAAATAATATTTTCTGGTTTTAAATATCCTTCAAAAGGTTGATGTGCTGTAAAAAAAAAAACAAACAAACAAATCAATCTATCAAGACAAGAAAGAACAAAAATATGGCGGATGAGACTGAAAAGTGGTCTATTTTTATTGGTTAGGAAGAAATTGCAGCATGAATCTGTAGGATTTGGCTATAAATTTGTGGAGGGGATGTTTTTAGAAGTCATTCCTTTTTGGATTGGAGCCAACAAACTTATACTTTCTTTTTTTCGAATATAATTTACTTCCTTGAAAAGTATTTTGCAAAGATTAAATTTTTGAAATACCACTGCGAAAAAATGAAACTGTCATTTCTGATTGCACGTATGTCCAGGTCATAGCAGTTGGCTACTGTCTTTGTATATGCATTAATAAATATGGCTACACTTGTCTTTGTTCATTGTATTTTCTTCTTTTTTTTTTTTTTTATAGGTAAATCTGTGATTCGGTCCATCCGGAGGTGCAAGCCAATCAAACGTTTAGTCTATGTTACTTGCCGTCCTATTGGTAACACTCTAACTAATTTCATTGAGTAAGTAATATTTTAATTCTCTCTTTTGCTTCCAATTATCTATGTTCATTATCACAACACACCTTTAATACTGACAAGTGATCATTTTTTTTTACCTGCATCAAGTGTCTGACATTCAGGAAGTAGTACATATATAGTAATGGTGAGATTAGCCATTTCCATACAGGGAATATTTTCTTTTTGTTGACTGAACAGTTGGAATTTATAAAATCTTTTTCTTAAAACTGTTCAGTGAGTGGCCATGGTTAAATGTAAATGAGTAGCAGAACTTTCCAACAAACATAATTGACAAAATTTGCAATAAACAGCAAATAAAATAAAAATAAAAGAACAAGGCAAAAAAATAATATAAAGCAAGCAAACAATATATGCAAGGCAAATTAACAGTGATAAAACAAACAACAGTAGTATGGCAAAAAGTTCACAAACTAAAGATTGGATTTGACACTCAAGAGCAAATTCAGATAAACAAACATAGCATTCTGGCATCAAGACAAGACAGACCAGGACTGAATCAGATGAAACCAAGAACTGGCCTATTCTTTTGACTAGGAAGAAATCCCATCATGCATTTGTGTGCTTCTGCCTATAAATTGGGAAGGGGAAAGTGTTTTGCAGTCATTCCCATTTGAATTGGAACCAACAAAAATAGTTTTTCAGGAAATATAATCACTCTCTCTGGTATCTATGGGAGTTTCCTTCCTAACCTTTTGCTTAAGCTAATGTGGAAAGTTAACAGCTTGATTATATCATTATTCTATGTTGATAAGAAAGAATGAGTTATTCATATGGCCTAAAAAATTAAGGAACAGGCATTTCTTTCTTTTCAATGCTAAGGAAAGTAAGAAGTGACCAGTGAAATGCTCTTTTCCTTTTCTTTTACGAAATAAATAGTTAGGTCTTTCATTAGCTGTTTGCTATATTCCATTTTATGAGTAAGTGAACTAACCAAATTTGTACATATGTCACTAATAAATATGATTAGTTTTTATATTAATACTAAGCTAGCATATTACACATAAAAAATGACAATTATGCATAGATTGGCTTTTCTGGCTCAGATCAGAACAGTTGGGCATTGTATGTGTGATTAAAATGCATAGGATAAGTATAATATGTATATATTGTGCCAAGGATCAAAGTGTGGCTTCACGGCACTTCTACCTTGGATAAGTATAACATGTGTATTTTGCTGAGGATCAAAATGTTGCCATGCTACAGACTTAGCAAGCCGATTATAGATACAATCTCATTACTTATACTAACAGAAGACCTTCACATGTGATGGTGCTTCTGGTCACAAGACCCACCTGGAGTTGTATTTTTTTATTTCTCAAACTGTTGGTAAGTGCTTATGTTAGATTCTTGACAAATAAATAAAAAATTTAAAACTCTTGTACTGATTTTTTTCTCTTTTCAGTCTATGTCGACCTCCCAATGAAGAATTTTCTGGTGAAGCTTTTGTTCCAGTACATGCTGTCCCTGTAGATATGTTTCCTCAAACACTTCACTGTGAACTTGTCGTTGTTTTTGAAAGATAATTTCTTTTTATTGATTAATGACAAAAGTAAAAAAAAAGAAAAGTTTCTAAACTATACAGTGACATTTAGATTCTCATATATAAAATGAATAAACAGAAATATGTAAACAAAATTGTTATTAAAATTTATATTTTTTTCCTTAATCTTTTTAAGTTGAAAATATGAATTAAGTACAAACAACAAAATGATGAAGAAACATTTTTTTTCATGGTTGTAATATATTTTACTATTTATTGACATTAGAAATTTTGGAAGTGAAATCATTTGTTGTTTTGATTTTTAAATTTTTTGTTCGTTTCTTTCCCTTAGTTGTATAGACATCATGTTTATATTTTATAGTGTTTGTATGTATATATGAATTTTGCTGTGAGCACTATGTGTAGGGCCGGATTTAGGCCTTAAGAAGCCTCTAGACTAATTGAATTTGAGGGTCCCTTCATTATGCATGTTTGCCTTCCAATGTCTATAAAAAAAATCTAAATAGAGAACCCATTGAAGGTACCCTATTGAATTTTAAAGTCAAACTCCAGCTGAAGGGGCCCAAATATTCTAAATTATTTCAAATTAGTTCAAAGGAGTCCCATTAAATTTGAAAATAAACAAATCTCCTCTGTTATATCTTTTTTTTTTTTTTTTTGTAGCAGGAACCCAAGAGGGAGGGCTTTTGATTCCCTTATAGTCTTGAGTTAATTTATTGCCCATAACCCATATGTAAGTCTGGCACTGACCATGTGTGTACCTCATGGCATCAGTTCAATCCTTGAGATGTTAGCATAATTTAAGTGTGTCTTAAAAATTGGGTATATTATTGTATTTTAATTGTATGATAAACATGACAAATTTTGGTTTGTTTAATGGCATATCAACTCCTTATGGGTCATTTAATGTCAAAATTTAATTTCCTTGGGAGCTTAGGATTTTTTTTGTTTTTTCTTTCTATTGAACACTGTAAAACATTTTTTTTTTTTTAAATTGCTAATATTTGCTTTCAGAAAATACTGGCAATTTTTTCCATCTTTATCAATAGTATTGTTTTGGGTTTTGTTTAGTACATCATTTTTCTCCTTCAATAATTTAAGTATCGATAGCAAGCTAATTCGGGATGTAAGATGCTTTAAAAATAATAGGTAAGTTTAGTCATATTTATATACAGCTTTTGCTTGTCCTGACAGCAAATTAGAAAATATTAGAAACAATTATTTTAACATCCTGAAATTGGATTTTTGTAAAGTAAATGTATTACTATTTGAATTTCTGGGGTGAGGAGTTATCATTATTTACATTTGGACTATTGTTCTTCTCTTTGGTATTACAATATGTGGTAGATACCTTCCACACAATGGTATTATATTAGTGGCAATGGTATCTTTATCTAGCTAATATCTTTCTATTATGTAGGAAAAATTTCTGGGAGATATATGTCAGCGATATTTCTGCTGCACCCTGTATCAATATTTTGGCCATTGTGCTATCCAGACTTCTTTAGGTGTTTGTTGAGCCAAGCTGGGTCATCTTCAGGGAATTTCAATTTTTTGTTTTATTGGAGAAAACACGTGACTGCCTTTTATAAACTAAGGTGGGAAATTTTTCAAGCAGAAATAAATTTATAATAAAATCAAACAGAATGCAGTAAATTATAATTTGAAGCCAACCCAAAGACAAGAACTCGGGATTGAAACATACTATTAAAATGGCTAGTGGAAAATGAATTCTATCTTATCTCAATATAACATTACCATACATTCAATATAGTAACACTTTGTTCATGGGTGAAGGCAAACAACACTATGTATAATTGTTTGAGGGCAAATACATTTATCGACATTTTTGAAGAACATGCATACAATAGTTTGTTCAGATAGTGAAGCATACATATTAAAAAATGCACAAAAAAAATGAGCATGCATATGACATTTTTTGTTCATTTTTATTTATCCTATAAAAACCAGAAGAACACACAAGACAATTTATAAAGAGGAAATAAAGAATTAACTGATATATATTTTAAATGAAGTGCTTGAAAACCTCATGATGCTAATACTATGACAATGCCCCACAGTCCAAACAGAGGTTTGGTTGGGTTTGGTTTGGTTTGGTTTGGTTTCTTTTGTTTTACAGCATATCAACCTCAATGGGTCATTTAATGCTGACAACATTTCTCCTGGTAATATTTTTGTTTTGTCAAAAATCTATTTCTGGTAATATTTTTTTTTCCTCAAAAATGTATAACTGGTAATATGTTTCAAAAAATGTATTGCTGGTAATAGTTTTTCTTCTTCAAAAATTTATTTCTTATAATAATTTTTTTACAATGTATTTCTGGTATTAAAACCTAGTTTTATACTTTCATAATGCTTTTTACCTCAGTTTCGGCGTTAACTATTTGCCCATAGCTGGGGCCCTAACAGGTGCTACCACCCCGGGTCAGAGTGGACCTGGGAACACCATCAATTAAGAGGTGGTTCCACGTTCCTCAAAGCCTCCTGATCTTGCTGTTGGATGTAGTTTATCATCTTACCCTGGACGCAGATGTAGTTTATCGTCATACCCAGGACGGCCTAGCAGAGGGTTAATACCGTGTGGTAATAATAATGATGTGATAATGCCCTACAGTACTAATAGTGGATGGGAAACTCATGCTATTAATGCTGTGACAATTTAGGAATTTTTCCCCAGTTGCATGTGTTCAGCAGTGAGAGTGGGATGAACAAAAAGGTGGGGAGGAAGTGTTGGGCTTCCCAGTTAAGAAAGTTTTTGAGTAGATGTTTCACAGAGAGATTTCTCTGCTTGTCACCATGTGTGAAACTGTTAGGGCTGGTATGTGTCATCTGCAGCAAGGGTTGTAGCTGTCTATGTCTCTGAGATGAGGTATTGTGATTATTTACATTATTCAGATTGTTATCCTCATTTTCGTTGCTATATTCACATTTCAGCCATTGTACACTCCGGCCTTCTTCAGGTGATTGGAAGTTCAAACTGAACCCTTTATTTCATCCACTGGGAGAAATTGTTCTAGTTCCATGTGCCATGCCTCTTCCGGATGTCTCAGTTATTTCCCTTTGACTCAACTCTCCAAGTTTTTGGTTCACCACTGCTGTAGCCTGGTATTGAACTCGCAACACTTTGGGTCTAGTCACTGGATGTAATTAACGTCTTTATCCACTGGGTCATGTGTCCTCGAGGTTAGATCCAGTGACTAGACCCAAAGAATTGTGAGTTCAATACCAGGCTACAGTAGTGGTAAATCAAAAACTTGAAGATGTGAATTAAAGGGAAATAACTGAGACATCCAAAAGAGGCATGGCACATGGAAGTAGAACAATCTACCCCTGGTGGATGTAATAAAGGGTTTGGTTTGAAATTCCAATCACCTGAAGAAGGCCAGAGCATACAACGGTCAAAAGCTTGTGAATAAGGGAATGACGATGTGGATAACAGTCTGAATAATGTAAGTAAGCAAGTGTTGTGTTTAGTTTTTACTTTGGGTAGGTGTCTTAAAGGTAGATTTCTCCTCCTGTTCCCACAAGGTAGGATAAATCTGAAGTGAAGTTGCCAGGACAGGACCACATGTCTTCTGCAGCAAGGGTCGTGAGCAGCCTTTCCAGCTGGTCTTGAAGGTAGAGGCCATTGAAAGGGAAAATGAAAAAGTGACTGAATAGGGCTCGGTCAGGGCTTTTATGACATCTGGTTGTACCCTGTTGATTACTTCTGTTGCTGTTACTGCTGAAATGAGCAAAGTAAGGAAGCTTCTACATACCACAATAACCAACAAGTGAGATAGTAGTGTGGAGAACTGTTATAGAAAATAACATAGTTGTTAAAACTTCATGGTACTAAAGCTGTCAAAATGCTCCACAGTACTAGTGGAGGTTTCAGTACACGTTTGATTTGCTGACTTTTGCTTTCAGTGACTCTTTTTTTAATTCTCTTGTTAATTTATTAAAATAAAATATGGGAATGATTAGGTTTAGGGAAATTATGTGTTTCTTTAGGTAAATATTTTTACGGCTTCATTTCTTCTGGAAACCAACATTGAAGATTTTATTTTATTTGCTTTTATTTATTTTGATTCGGTTTGTTTTTAATTGGGGTTTATTTACAACAAACTGTTTCCTTACTTTGTATCCATTTGTATGCAAGTTGCATGACATTTTAGTTCGTTTATAATTTTAAAGTATGGGAATCCAAAAAGAAACAAAAAAAAAAAATGAAGTTTCATTATTTTTTTTTTTCTGCAACTCTCGAAACTCAATTCGTCTAATGACAAAAAAAAACCTCCTTAAATATCCTTGCTACAACTCAAGTTGTGGTGAGGAGTTTGTTAAGCTAAGTTACAGTTTTTTTCTCTCTCTCGAAAAAAAAGCCTTTTTTTTTTCGAGAGAGAGAGAGAAAAAAACAAAAAACACTTCTCTTCTTGTACAACTGAAATGGATTTTTTTTATCATTCTTCATAAATCCAGTCTTCTTATGTTCACACCATGAAATAAAACGCACTTAAAAAAAAAAAAAAAAAATAAAATAACTATTTGTGTTTTTAACCGAAAACTAAATCGTTTCGTTGAACTGCCCGCAAAGAGATGGGCAACGGAAAAGAGGGGATATTTTTCTTGGTACACCGTTAGACAAATAAATAAATACATACCCTCCGGAGTGAATGAAAAAGTAAGTGTTTTTAATTATTGCTTTATTTCTTGTCCGCTGAATTATTATTTATTATTGGTTCATACATCTTTACAAGATCATCTCTCACTTTAGACTATTTAATATTGCATAATCATTTTTATCACATTTTCCCAATTAATAATATTTTTGTGTAGGGACAAAAAAAAAAAAAAACAAAAACAACACATGATCAACATCAACAATTTGTGTCACAACGACATTTTTTTTTCTATTATTTAATTTTATTAATATTTCTTGTGAAGAATTGACTTTACCGAAAATTAAATACGTTTTTAGCAAAATGTACAATGTTGAGCAAGTGGCGATAACAAAAATTTAAAATAATAATTGTTATTGACTTAGATTCTGGAACCTGGCCACCATAAAGCAATAAGTCCACTCCACTTAAAAATCAGATAGTGACTAATAACTATTACTAAAAAAGTATTAAAATCAAATTCAATTTTTAGTCATGCAGGATTCAATTCTACATTTTTTATGATTATCTTAGAGAAATAAAACTTAAAAAATACGTCTACGAACAGAATATTTTTTTAAGTCTTCGTTAATGTTTTAGTTTTAGAATTCATTCAAAAAAGCATCAATTAAAAATACAATGATGACTAATATAACTCTATAAAAAAAAAACATTTAAAAAGGCACGTTTTGTTGTTCACAGTTGAAATTGAGTTGAGTATCATTTATTGTTGTTGTTGATGATGTGGTTCTAAACAATATACACGAGGTCCATTGCCAAGGTAAGGGAGGTGCTGTCCTCACCAATAAATCATTAAGCACCCCACTATGTACTTAAAAAGTTTTAAACAATGTGAACTAATTTTTTTTTTTTTTTTTTAGAGTGTAAATTTTTACTCATGACCCTCCGATTTAAAGGTCGGTACCCCCTCCTCCCAAAACACTCTGGCGACGGCGAGATACACGTAGTCTAGAGTTTTTATTTAATAATACACATCTCAGCTGTAAGTTACCCACAAACATCATTCTAGCTAGTGTCAATTGAACATGTATGAAGAAAATGATAAATCTCAGAGCATTAGTTTCTAGTTCATCGATATTGTAGTCTTAAAGGGCAAAAATCTCTCTTGGACCTTTCTAGTAACGCAGATTTTTTTTTTAACCCTTAGGTTGGTATGTCGAACTTTTGATTCCCTCTGCAATCATGCAATATTGTACTGATTTAAAAAGCGATGGTTAGAATTTTAATAAAACCTAAAAGTAAACATGATGGATTTCTTTATTCTTGAGAACTGACAACAGAAAAAAACTATTTATTTTTAGCTTGAATAAAAAAAAAATATTTTCGTAAAATGGTAAATAATAAATTGCATTGTAGTTGGTTTTTATATTTTGATAATTTTGTAATTTTTAAAATAAAAATATTCCTTTTCAAATTTATTTCTTCATAAAATGATAAATAATTTTTTATAAAATGCAAATAATAAATATCACATTGTAATCTTGTAAATAAACATTACTGTGGGAGACAAAAGTGTATATACAGTTATAGCAGTGTCAAGAGAATAACTGTCCTTTTGACACATTGTTTTATTTTTTTTTGCAGGCACAAAGATTAAACATTACCACAAATCATTGCGATTTCTCATCTTTAGCATGATTGCTTGTTTCTGAGCATGCCTGTCTGCTAAGACCCATTTATGTTTGTTCAACACCCACAGAGCTAAACTTTGGTTTATACTGAAACTGTACTGAGTGAACAATATTTGCAGTTCAAGTATCTATCCCACTAGGAACACACATGGTTTTGAATTTTTAATTGTTTTTCTCTTATAATGGTTACCAATCATGGCTAGAGAGTTCAGTCTGACCTGCTATTTAACTCATAGTTGCTGGGGGAGTTAATATTTTACTGGTATAATACCAGTAAAAAGTAATGTTATTATTTATGCATGAGTTAGTATTTCTGCCTTGGATCAGAAAATCTGTGCACTCTGCCTAGTATCAGTGTAATACATTTCCAAATTTTGCTTTCTTGAGACACAAACCAGATGAGTCATTCATTGCTAAGCAGTAGCAGAAGTTTTATGTGTTCATGTTATACTGATGGTGGAAATTGTGATAGGGAAGCTAAGGATCCACCTGTTTTTGATATTTGAATATTGTACTGACATCTGAATTAACATCTAAATCTTTATAAGGCAAAGGTTATTGATAAAGAGATTACTTAATCAGAGCAAAGTTGTCCCAGATGCCAGGTTAGGGATACTCATCATTACAAACACATCCAAACAAAAGAGAATTGATTTCACACCAAAGCACCTTTGCTATTGGTTGAGCTAATATTCATCAAAGGCCAGTATCCTAAAAGGATTTACATATTTACATGAATAGATTTTACAAGTTCACAAAGAAACTGATTATCCATGTGGGAGTTAACTATTTGAATCCTGATTTTCAACTCCAATTTCTTATACCAAAGGTAAATCCACCAAGCATACTTCATTCTCATCAGTCCAAATCTATATATAAAATTCTGTGACTTCCATTAGTCTGTTCATCCATCACACCCTCAAAATAGCCATGACTGATCAAAACCAGATTTTGGGGTGAAGTACAGGCAGGTAAGTGGGTACAGAGTACAGTTGGTTTTATTAGGGTATGTAGCTTAGTACAATAAATTATTAATATTATTTGACATACAAAATACTCCCACTATTAATAACAATTTAATGATTAAAATAACAAATACTTATTTAATAATGTTTTTTGCATATGTTTTCTTTGAGGTTTTATATATACAAGTTTCCAGTTCACCCTGTGCTTATGAGAACTATAAGCAAATCACAAGGCCAAACGCTTCAAAAATTTGGAATTTGGCTCCAGAAAGAAACATTTATGCATGGCCAGTTGTATTTGCATGCACAAGAGTAAGAAATCCCAAGAATTTATTCTTCACTGTGAAAAAGAACAAAGGAAAAAAATAAATTTTCTTAAAGTATATTGTTTAATATGACGTTCTATAAAATTAAAGAAGTTATTAAACTGCAAAGTAGGGTTTTTTGTTAAAGTATTTTTTTCAAACAAATCATTTTAGTAGAGAATTTAATCAACTGGTTTGAAAAACTGAACAAAATTTAGAGTTTGTAAATCTCAACAAAAAATGTTAGTGATAACTTCAACAACAGTAAATACCGTGAGGATTTCAACATGCATTAGTTTGTTGCAAAAAAGATTCTAGTTATTTAAAAATAATAACCACAGATCAAAGTAACCTCGGCCATGTGCTTTCATCTACAGTCTTTGATTACTCTAAATGTTACTTTAGGAGACGCATGTGTTTGAGTAGAACCCTCCACTTCTTTTTAGACATCTACTAGTCTGAACATTCAAGAGACATAATAAAAATTCAAACCTATATTCCATTTTGTAGGGGAAACCACTGATCTGATGTTCTTTAGACTGCTCAGCCATAGAGAATGTCATAGCCCAGTAAAGTTAAATTGCAGTTTTAAAGAATAAACCTTGCTGGGTTGTGTCTGTGCAGTGCAAAGCATGCTGGATAAAGTGGGGTGCAGGTTTAAGCCCTGCCAGAGAGCCCTTTTTTTTTTTTTTTTTTTTTTTTTACTAAGTCTTTTGAATGCACAAATTGGTAGATATAGTTTACACTGTTAAAAAAACCCAAAAACAACAGAAACCTACCCAAACATGTGTATCTTGGGAAAACAATCACTTGCCCACCTGGGCCACTTGTGGGAATATGTTACCCCCCACCCCCAAATGCACATGGTTATGTGAGTTGCACAGTCTGCTGCAGGCAGAGATAGCATCTGTAGAAAATATTTGTTTATTTCTTATTTGCATATGAAACTATCCCTGTTTGAGTAACATTTAGATAAAGACATGGATGGTCAATACAGATTGGAGGGAATAAAGGAGAGAAAGGGAAGATATAGGCAAAGAGTGAAAAGAAAAGAGCAAAGACATAAGATAATGGATAATTTTAGTTGACCAGAATCTGTGAGATACTCATGGGTTCAAGAAGTGATGTTAATTCTTGAAACTTATTATAAAGACTTGGAAATATCTTAACTGCATTAGAAATATTGACCAATTAACCAAATCCTTTTTGCTCCTATTGGGAGACTGAAAAGTACATGGTTTCCTAAGATGCTATTATTTATTAAACTTAGCTTAGTTCTGACACAAGTATGGGGTACCCAGTGAGAATCAAACTCACTACATAGTAGTAATGATCAACTAGATTATCCTTATTAACCATTACCCTATTCCAGTGTTTCTCAACAAGGGCACAATAATGCACCCTGAAAGGTAGCCAGGTCCACTCCAAGTTAGCAGAAGAGTAATTTATGAAGTTTTTTTTTTTCTATTCTCATAACAATTATAAAACCTTACAATCTCAAAGTTAGAGACTGGATCGCATAAGACCTGAACTTTAAACATGGGAGGAACATATTTTATATTCTTTTTTAAGTAATAAAAATATAAAAAATCCTTCATTCAGTACTTAATGGTCGTGTTATGCATGAAACTCAGAATTGTGCTAACAGTAAGGGAAAAAATGTATATTTATTATCAATATAAATTATAGTTCTGTGATTATATATTGAGCATTATTTTATTAGCACCAGCACCCAATGTGGGATATTAAAGATAGATTTTTTTTCACTTATTTTCACTCTGTTCTTTTATGGACCCAGCCTTTTTTTCACCTTGTTTAGAACAGTCCGCCATGATCATAACAAAGATACTGCCATAAGCAAGGGAGCTAACTCTACCAGAACAAAACGTTATAGTCATTAAAGTTACTTGGTATAATAAAAAAAAAAATAATTCTTCTTCTTCTAATAATAATAATATTTTTTTTTAATTGGAACCGTTCTAAAATTAGTTACATAACCACTCCAACTGCGGTTAATTGTGTCTTTTTTGTTTGACATTCTGCAACATTCCAACATTCTTTTTTCTTTTTGACATTTTCATTGACATTTTGTAATTTCTCTCTCCTTTTTTTTTTAATTTTTCGTGTGAAAATCTAAAGAGGTGGAAGTCTAGTTGGTTGTTTATTTATCAATCACTTTTCTAAAATTGATTCCGGCACCTTTAAAAAAAAAAAAATACTTCCGAATTTTTGCATGAATTGACGCGACAAAAAATTACTTTTATGTTGAAATTAAAAACGTTTGAGACTTGGCCAAGCCAACAAGACTACTTTGTTTTAGTTTCTGTACAATTATCAGAAGCCCACGCATATAACAATATAGCAAAAATAAAATCTTGCTAAAATTTGCTATTGGTAAGTATAGTGTAAAAAGTCGGTCAATCCAAAAGAAAAGAAAGAAAATAGGGGATTGCTAATCAAGTTATCACTTACCGTGCCCCCCCACCCCCGCCACCTTATTATTCTCTTCTCTTTCTCTTCGTTATCTTTTTTTCCCGAATTTTCCTCTCTTCTCACCTCTATTTTTTCTTTCTTTCTTGTTTGTTCTTCCTGAACTCACAACTTGTTGAATAATCGCTGTATGATTCAGACGAGGACATGCAAACTAGAGAAAAGGAAGGCAGGCGTAAAATAAAATTGGCTAACAATAACATTCACGATCTTTGTGACAACCACAAAACCCGGGCTTCTCTTCGTGAACCTTGAAAAAATCACTTACAAAAAAGTCGATGTCACAAAAATGTTTGTAATGGCAGTAACTCCCTAAATAATAAATGAGTAATTACGTACTTTATTAAGGAAGAAATACAGGGTGTCCCAAACATTAGTGATGTGAGAACTCATATGGATGAAAATATGCAAAACAGATGGATTGGAAGAAGAGGGATAGTTGAATATCCACCTCAATCACCAGATTTGACACCCTTGGATTTCTTTTTGTGGGGGTTTCTAAAAGGCAATGTTTACTGCAGGAAACCTGAAACAATTGCTGAAATTAAAGTAGCAATTGAAGAAGAATGTGCTCAAATACTAAAAAAAAAGGAAATGATACTGGACGTTTGTAGGTATATTTCTTCAAGATATGAAAAGTCAAAAGTGTATTGAACAGAACGGCGACCAGTTTGAGTACTTGATGTATGAACATTCTGCTATTGCCCCAAAGTACCTTTTAAAAAGTTAATTTTCTGTTTTTTGTATATTTTACACTCAAATTAAATGTGTATTTTTCTCTTGTATTAATCTTATTTACAAGTCAAAATAAATTGAATAACGATTCAATGAGTGTATGGGACACATTGTATTTAAAAACTTCACATACCTCTAAGTTAATAAAAAAGTAACGCTAACAGTCATTATGAACAAAAAAATGTAAACAAACTTAAATTTCTGTCTGAATTTCTGGTATGAGGAGTTATTTATTATTTATAGTTCTGAGTACACTACATGCGAACTATTTTCCTCATCTTTGTTGTTATAACGTTTCGACCGTTGTGCCCTCTGGCTATCATCAGGTGTATGTCGAGTAACGAACCTATAGGCAGGGTTTTCGATATCTGTGTAAATGTACTTTTAAATTTGGAGATGTTTACGATTTTTTTTTCAGTTAAAGTAAAATCCCAGATGTTATTTCAAAAAAAAAAAAATAAAAAATACATCAAGTCAAGTGTGAACATCGTCCCAAACCTTCCTAAAAAAAATTCAATAATAAAACAAAATAAAACTCTTCCTACCCCCACCCCCAAAAATATGTGTTACTGTCTTTTTTTTTTTTCAGATAACACCAAAATTTAACTTTAAAGAAGATAATATTTAAAATGCGTTTTTCATTTGTTTGTTTTTCTAGGAAGTTAATGGCGGCACCTAAAACTGACCCATTCATTCGATCTGAATTCGAGCTATGCATCTTTTTATGTTGTCAAACAAGACCTTTTGGAAATTGCCGTATGACTTCTGATTGGCTTGTGGAAATATGACAATGACCTCGCGATTCCGAATTTTTCTCTATTTTTACTTTTAGCTATGGTGAAACTTTAATCTTCTTGCTTTTTTACTAAGGAAAAGTCTATGGAGAATTTAAATCATCAAATATTTTGCCAAACAGGACCCCCGTTTAGAGAAAATCTGCTTTTAAATAAAATATGCAATAAAAGTAAAATAAGGCATTTAATTAGAAAAGGTTTTAATAATTGCTTTTATGAAAAAAATATATATCATGGACATTATTGTGACATTGTATAATAGTTAAGAAATAAGGAATTTTTACAAAAATTATTTTCATTTTTTTAAACATTTTTTTAATTATAATAATTTATAACGTTTTATTCTGTATTAATTTGTAGCCTTTCTGTAAATTTAAAATTAATTGTAATTTTCTTACATTTCCTCAGCAAACGTCTTCATAAAACCAAAAATAAAGTCAAAGTACATAAAATTCAATAAAATATTAAATTATTTAGAATATTTTCCTAAATTTTCAAGATTAATCTTTGAAAAAGAAAGGCGTTCACATTATTCGCCATTTTTTTTTTAGTTTCCTTTTTAGGTAGATTAGCTTTCAAGGCTTTTATTATTATTTTTTTGCAGATACACTAAAATTTAACTTCAAGTAAGGTATTATTTAATTTTATTTAAAAATGCCAAACATCAGGTTATCAACGAATAACACCCTAACACCCACCTGTGTTAAAAAAAGATTTTTTCTGCAGTATTTTAAACTAAAAAAAGTATTTGTTGTAATTCAGATTAATTAAACTTTAAAAATCAATTAATTTTCCTTAAATAAAGTTTCAGAAAAACATTTTATTTTTGAAAGATCTTTTTAATGAAGAGAATTTTGTTGTATTGACAGATTTGTCAACATGGGCAGTTTTAGCGATTAAAAATGTAAATAATCCCAAAGAATTAAAATTCGGTTTGAAATACAGCAATTTTTTTTATAAGTTTTTTGATTATTATTAAATTTTAGTTTGGAATTTAAAACTAAAAATAAAAGCTTCAAGTATAAAATCTTTCATTTTTAAAATGCATTATTTATCTTTTTTTTTTTTTTCGGGTACTTAAATTATTTATTATCATTGACTATATAATTTTTCTCTTTTAAAAATGCAATCTCAATATTCTGATTCTGCTGAAAAAATCAATTTAATTGCAAATGATTTACCAGCACTTCGTATGAGGACCTGAGTGGTGGCAGAAGTCTTTGCATATTTCCTAAACGGGCCAATTTTTAAATAATTTAAGTTTAAAATACAACCCTCTTAAGTCGGGATTATCTCTCTTGCGAACTAAAGTCTAGTAGAAAAAGAAAATGAAAGCGTGTATCCTATCTCCTCTCTTGTTACGAAATGGTTGAGCCGGGCGAGTCGATTTAAAGTTGGTCTAGGGATGAACAGGTCAGTCTGTGAAACAGATGCTTACATTCTGCAAAGGATTTTTTAACTAGTCACAATGTAAACAAGACAAGTTTATACACTGAAGATGCTGGAAGTATTATTGAGCTGTGTTGTGTATAAGTAAGTCTACCCTGACACACGGGTCTATGGGTAGGTACAATGCAGTAAATATTGTCCTTTTAATTCTCAGCATTGTTTAACTTGTTGAAAAAAAAAAAAAAAAATCATCTTCGTATTTTGTTTACCTTTTTTATTTATTTTTTTTTCTGCTGGTAAAAAAAAAAAAAAAAGGTTCATAAGCAACAACCTTTATTTACTTATTGTCTCGTTTATAAAACAAATGTGTCTTGGGCTGAATATTTTGTGCGAAATTAACTTTGTTTTGGAGTGACATTCTGTTCGTGTTTATTTTGTTTTGAAAATCTCTGAACAAAATTATTAAGGTAGCTTCTAAATAGTTCTAATTAAGAAATGTATTTATTGTCGCGACATCAGGCTCTGGAGAAGTTTTATTTAGAGATTGATTCCAATAAGAAGAAAAGACCGTTATTTGGTTTGATATAAGTTTTTCTTTTCGTACCGAAGACAAACAAAAAGCAAAAAAACACTAATAGCTTACCATTGTATTGTTAGAATCGATGTACGACTTTTCCTCTCGGATTCGTCTGTCTGTGATCTTTTAAACCCCAACCCAAATGTTTCGTTATATTTTTTCCTCGATTGATAAAATCTTTAAAAAACAAAGACCTATTTCAAACAAGGAAAGCTAAAAAAATGTAATAGTGGTACTTCTTTTTAAAGTTAAAGATTTGAAATTAAAAAAAAAAGTTAGCCTTATGTTCTTTCTAAAAATTGTCCCTATGAGTCACTCTTGTAATTTCTATCGTAATTTTTATTTACGTTTTTCTCTTTGGTAAATGAGGTTAGGATATACGTGTTTAATTCTGCCATTGCAAATATTAGTAAACGAAGCCAATCAGCTGATATAAATAAAGACAGGCGATGGTAAAAATAATTAAAAAAAAAAAAAAAAAAAGCTTATGATTAAAGATAAAATGCCTTTATTTTTTAATTTTTAAAAATTAATAAGATTGATTTCCAGTCAAATGTTATCCTTCGTTAACAACCATCTTTACTTTATCTTGGGTTCGTTCTGGGAAAATGGAATGGTTTTAAAAAAGTTGTTCCTTAAGTTTTGAAAATATTAAATTTTAAAAGAAAAAAATATTCTTTGTTTCTTCTCTTTATTTTAGAAAGTGCATTGATTTGATTAACTTGTCACTAAGAATTTCTTTAAAAGTTTACTTAATAATTAACTTGATGTCTTAATTTTCGGATGTCTGTTTCTTCCAAAAATAGGGTACAATGATTTTTTTTGATTTTTTTTTTTTTTTTTTTTTTTTTTTTTTTTTTTTTTTTTTTTTTTTAATTCAATTTTTATCACTTATTTGCGTCACTTATATTGGTGTTGTAACACAACACTCCAAAAAAGACTAATAAATCAACATAAGTGCATAAAAATTTGAGCTAAGTTAAAATTTTTAAATGCAATTTTGTTTAGGATAGCTTTTTCTTTAAGGTTTCCAAGCAAAATCTTAGAAAAAAAAACCCTAAACTTTTTCTTTACACATTATAAAGAAATACTTCTGATTTTATTTTCTCTGTTATTTCTCTTCAAATTATCAACCCTATATTTGAAACTTGAATTCGATTATTAACACCTACTTATATTTTTAACAACTTAATTGAATTCATAGAAGTAATTGTTGTTAAATCTTACATCTGAAACGTGGTGAATCATTTTTTTAGGTGAATTACTTTACTTACTGGGACATATTAATTATTATTACTTCTGACAAGTCATTCCATAATTCTGGAGTCTGGACTGATATTAGCACTTAATGTTAATTTGACGTAATTAATGACTTCTTTATTTTAATTTTGAGATTTCACTTTTATTCCAGTTCTCAGAAAGTATTCATTTTAAAATGAATACTTATTTTCTTGACATTGTATTCAACTTAAAAATTATTTTTCGATAAAGTTTAGTTTTCTTCCAAAATTCAAAAACAAATTTGATTTCTCTTTTAGTCTTACCAACGGAGAAACAAGAAAAACTTTTTTGTAAATTACACACACATTTTCTGCTTTTCTCAAATGG